ATAAAAATGAGAAAAATATTTCACTGAAATTATATATACAATTGATGTGAAGGAGTGTAATATATGGCCAACAACTCCCTCATTAAGTGCTTACATCTCATATAATTTAATGCATTATATACTGTCTTATACTGTATATATTAATACTAGTTTTATATACAATATTATATAACAAAACCTGTGCACCAGCTTATCATTAGTATTGATATTGACAGTATTAAATCAAAATTTAAAAAATAACATTTGCTTTTTGGTGCATTTTTTCTCTTATATATACAGTATATACAAAATATTTAATTAATGAAAGAGAGAGAGAGAGAGAGAGAGAGCTAAAAAGCTATAAAATCTCATGAATTATTAACATAAATGCAAACAAATGTTTAACATATTATTTTTTTGTAAGCAAAAAAAGGGAAGACAAGAAATCATGCAAAAGATTAACTATTTAAAAGTTATTTTGTCATAAAATCAGAGCAAATCATATTAACATATTTTAAAATATATGCTAATTAGCATTTTTTATAAAAAACTTTAATTTTATAAACCTATATAAAGTTTATTTAGACTATTTGTATAGCAGAAAACTAAAAAAAGTAAAACAAAGAAAAACGGTATATAAATATTATGCAAATATCCTATTATAAAGTTTTTTCTAAAAAAATTATATTGACTGATAAAATACTTTTATAAAAATCTTATATTTTTTAAACAATAGACACACTTGGCTACACCAGTTGACAAAAAAATATGTTAACTCTAGAGTAATATAATATTATAAGCTGTATTTTGAGTGACAGATTGTATAAAAATAATAGTTTTTTTAATAACTATATTAATTTCATAAGACATTGACATTTATTTTATTTAATACATGTATCACTGCATCTCCATTAAACTCTCATTTTTCTATATATAATTTATATAACAATAATAATAATATATAAAAATATTGTTGAGTTAATACTGTACATATTAATATCATAATTTTTTATGAATAACTACTTAAAGTTATTTATAGTTATGTTATCGTAAAAAATTAGATTATTATTATTATATACATAACATATTAGCATATAATATAGTATTTGTCTGATTGTGTTATTAATAATTGCAAAATAACTCTGAAAGATATTTTCAATCAAATTAAAACTTCTTGTTTTTAATTATTTATTTTTGTTGTTGTTTTAGCTATCCTTTGATGAATACAAATATTATAACCATAAATATCGGAAAATTTATTTCACTTAAAGTATTATTTACGGTATAATTTGATCGAAACGATTACAAACAGATAAATATAAACATGAATTTAGAGTTATATTATATATATATATATATATATATGCTATACAATAACAATAGGGTTTATTATAATTTCAAACATAATATTATTATTGAAACGCTTGTGCTTTAAATTAATATCTTATACTAGAAATCGTGGCTTTCCTTTTAACTATAGATATCTATGATATGCGAATTTGTGGTAAAATAAATTTTATTTCAATTATTTTTTATGATAATATTTTTCTTTCTAAAATTTTTTATTATTAGTATTACAGTACAGTATTATTATTATTATTTTTATTATTATTATTATTCACTAAACCATCAGTGACTTCACAAAACTTTTGTTGCATTGAAATTATCGTGTCATACAAGACATCCAAAATCAATGTAATTTTGTTTCTTTATTTCATTGTGTAATCATAATATTAAGTGAATTTGCAAAAATAATAAATAATAAAAATATACCGTAAATAAAATAATAGCAAAATATATTTTAAAAAATACATAATAATAATGTTTGGCATATCTGGCAAATTTGTGCCACAAAAATAGTAACAAAAATATTACTATTAACGGTAATTTTGTTGTTTTTTTTGTTTGTGAATATATATACAGTATATATTAATTATATATAAATTATATGAAAATTTGTTTTAATGTCTGGCAGTCTATGGTGGATATGAGATCCCAAAATGTTAAGATACCCTAAGCCCATGAACCGAAAACTTTTAATTGTTATGACATTCACTGATAATAATAATGCTAATTGTTTCATGAAATTATTATTATTATTATTATGTTATTTTATGCAAAAAAATGTTGATTGTCTCACAAAAATGTGTCTTCAAGCAAAATACACACTGTATTTATGGATACACTGTTATAATTTGTGATAAATAGCATGAATAAAAAAACACTGAATTTAAATTGCTTTCAATTAACTCTAATTTTTGAGATTCCTTGAGGTTATTATTATTATTATTATTATTATAGACATATATTTGTCGATTCATTGACTTTAAAATTATTGATTCTTTATTGTTAACTGTAAATTGGGATTAATGAGACAAAATAATTCATGTATTTAGCAAACACTATATCATATAATAATATTATTATTACTAATAATAAATCTTATATAACACAAAACATCAATTTCTACTAAAGTTTTATGCTTACACTTCAATTATAATTTACTGAATAAAAAATAAATTTCAAAAAATTTCTATTTTAAGGCAATCAATTTTCATTTAATTAATAATGAAATTTTAATTATCTCTCTTTATTTGTTTTTTATCGACTATAAGAATGAATTTATGATAATTTTCTTTAAAAATTGCTACACGAAATCATTTTCTTTATTTTCTGTTTTAAAAAGTGTAATAATTTAATATTTTTTGAATTGTTTGTACTGTAAAAATATTCATTAGGGATTTTAAATTTTTAAAAATCTCGCAAACAATTATATAATTTAAAATATATATAGTAAACTAGCTATTGAAATTTAAATTATATATATGAAAAAATCTTATTTGAAAAGTCATGTTTGGGAAATTATAATAGAAAATATGTACAAAAAATAAGTTTGTTATGAAAATATGACTTTATATTCAATACTATTATAATATTCAGTTTGTTATCAATTCTCATGTAAATGCACTAAATATTACGGTATTTTTGTAAAAAAAAATTACACAATATATAAACTGTATATTAATATATTGTACATAAAATACAGTATAAACATAAATTTATATTTAGCAAAATTTTTCACATTTTTAAATTATCTTTTTAAGTGACCCTTTCATGGATCAGACAATTACATGTGAACCCAAACCTAAAAAAACTATTAGTTGCGACACAAAATCACTACTAAATAATACGATAATAACTTAACAAATGCTCACACAAATGGTCACATAATTATACTGTATTTGTGAACTGCTATTCATTAACACAAAACACTTGGATTTTTTTGCTAACAATTAGTTTAAAAAGCAAATACAAGGATAATAGTAATAATAATAATAAGTTAATTCATTAATGAATGTTTCAATTGGTTTTGTGTGAACGCAACGACCCAACAGTTAGACCATTGCTTTTTTGTCATGAATTTTCAATGACATCTAATTCTTTATAATTATTTAATTTGAAAATATTTAATTATATACTTTTATTCATAATATTATACAATATTTGTTTTAACAACTATTCCGAAAATTATACAATATATATATATATATATATATATATACTCTATATAATAGGAAATTATATTTAATAATGATATAACTATAGAAAATATATAATTATTAAATATAAATTGGAAAACTAATATAGAGATTATTTACAAATAAAATTTAATTATTATCATATTCTATAAACTTTTTGATTTATTTAAAAAAAATTATTAATAACTTATAATAAATTATAAAAATATATTTACCTTTAATTTCGGTGTCAATCGCGTATCAATCGGTAAAAACTTTTTTTAGTTGATTTGTTGCTTTGAAAAAATGTGAATTTGATTGAATATAACAAAATAGTCAATCAATATAATATATTGTATATAAAAATGTCGAAATAATCCCAAATATTTAGTTGTTATACAGTATTATAGAAAAGCAAAGTTTTGAGAGTAATTCATAAAACTTTTTTATGCCGTATTTTCTACTATTAATAACTCAAATGCAAGCTTTCGTTCATATGGTTTGTCGAGGAAAGCCTTACTATAAGAACCCGTTCCTACACTACAGAGAGTTGACTCAAATTTAAAAGTGGTTTCAAAAACTTTAGATCATTTTTTGAATGTTATACTTGGCTTAACATTACAAGTGTTGGAATTGTATACAGTATGTACCGTATATAAACATATAGTATATACTGTATATACATATATAAGCCCTAAGCTCAGCCCCGGTGCTCAGTCATGCACTCCATCAGTACTGTTGGACCATCAGATTCATCAGCCCTTTATATGTCGTGAATATCTTCTCACAGAAGTTAATGTTTGGAAACTTATATATATTTTTGTCATTTTTAGTACCAATTCATGTCATATAATTATAACGAAGAATGCATTTAGTATCTAATGTTATAGTAATATATAGTTTTCAATAATATTGTTAAAAATCAAAACATTTTTTAAAAAATTTACTAATCTTTGTTTAGTGCCGACAATTATTGTACAAGTATTGTACTGTATGTTTATATATAGGTAATCGATATGTTATAAGAAATTATTTTACATAATAAACTATTTAGTTAATCAAACATTCAAAAACATTAGGGTCTAAATTGATTAATTTGCTATTATTATTGGTTATTATAGTTTAGACTAACATTAACCTTGTTTTTTATTGTGAAATGAGTGTAAATACTATCAATATATCAGTATATTTATTAAATTTTTTAGTCATTACTCTGGTATAAACAGTAATTGCAAATATTTATTAAATACAGTAATAATATGAGAATTGAAAAATTGTTTTTTAATTTAATTTTAAGATACTTTAAAGTGTATATAACCAATAATTTAAGCAATAAAATGCAAAATAATTTGTTTACATTAAAAATAAGATTTGCTGAAATAATTAAGTTTTGTTTTGTCAATTCATTGGTATTATTGTTTAAAAATTATACAAATAATATAATATTATTATTACAATAAATTTTTTATATAATCTACAATATTTTGATTTATTTAATAATTTTTTAAATACTTGCAAAAAACCAATCAACCACTTCTCCCAAATAAAAAACATTTCATATATATAAATGACTGATTGTGTATACAATATATATATATATATATATTACTTGATTTAAAAATTATTTTTTTTAAATAATTATAATAACGTGTCGCTTAAAATGTTAAAATGCAACACTAAATTTTTGTTAACATGCATTTTAATTTGTACCAACACGTGCGCTACAATTTGTCCAACAATTGATACTTTCAAAAAAAGTTCGGTATAATTACGGTACATACACACTGTCTGTCATCATATTTTTAAAAGTTATACAATATTACAATATTATATATATAAACATATAATTCGCAAAATGTATGAAATTTAGTTAACATAAAAAATTTAAAAACAAAAAAATGTTCACAATTTATAAAATAATCGATTTTTTAAGAAAACCTTAATTAATTAAATACATGAAATTGATGATCAAGTTTTCCAGTTTTGTGGAAGAGATCCGCGTGGAATCATATCTAATAAGTACTGTCGGTGAAGATCAGAGGGTGGTACTCCAGATTTGCTTAGCATACTGTATGAGTAGGCCTGAGCGGCCAGTAGTGGCCCGAATGGCAACATGTGTGCCGGTTGTGGCTGAGGCAGACTTTGTGCCAATTGTTGTAACTGTTGGGCCTGCGCTGCAAACAACGATTGGTGTGCGGCCGATAACTTAGGCATTTGTTGCAACAGCGCCGCAGAACTGGCTACCGCTGCTGCAGCAGCCGCCGCATTAGCCACAGAACCGGTTAATCGCGAATTGATTGAAGAATGAGCGGGTGGTGCCTGTGGTAGAAGTGCTTGACTCGATGGTGTAAACGAAGATGAGTTCGAAACTGTATGATTATTGCCTCCATTATTATAGTTGTTTTGCGGTGGCGTCGGTGACATTGCTGGTAATGGAGGACTAGTGGCTCCCGAAGCTATTCTTTGTTCAATTTCCTGCTCCTGTTGTAAGGCTTTGACAAATGCAGTCTTCAATCGATTTGTATGTTCGGCTTTTAGTGCTTTCTTTATATTACTGGTTACACATGTCTCGCAAATAACGGCCGGTCTGTCTCTATTGGTGTCAATCCTGTCCTGCCATTTCCATACGGGTGTAAAATCAGTTCCGCATTGGACACATTCAAACGGATCGGGCGGCGGTCTGGTTAGATTTGGACTGTCCGTCAAAAAGTCTACAACGGTTTCCAATCCGACGTAATAAACAAACTCTGGATTATTAGCATTCGGTATAAAATGCATTTCAGGCGGCGGTGGTTTCGGTGGCGGAATTTGTAGTAATGTTTTTTCCAATTGTTTTCTTAAGGCTAGTTTAGCGGCCGCCTGCCGTTGAGCCGGTGTTTGCGTCACTTCTTCTCTGGTAGGACCGGGTGATCCCGTAACTAAACCCATCTATTCAATTGATAACAAAATTATTTATTAATTCAATATTAAATAAAAACAATAACAAACCGATGGATGAGAATTTAAAAGCGAATTCGAGTTTGGCGGAGCCCTCAAGTCTTGAACAGGATATCCGAGCACTACGTTTGGTGGTGTTGTCACTGGTGTCCTATTCATTGAACCTAACGGTCCGGGTCTATGTGAAGAGTGATGTGATTGTGAGTGTGCTGCTGTCGGGAGGGTATGATTTGAACTACTGTTTCGTTGAACTAAACCTAATGGCGGTGGACATAGCGCTGCGTGCGGTAAACTTTGATTGCGACCGTAGGGAGAATTCAATACACTGTTTGCTTTGCTGCTGCTATTGCTGTGAGCAGACACACGATTATTATGTGCCACGACTGGCGGTTGATGTGTATGCGGTGGTGTGGAACTAACTGATCCATTACGCGATGAAACATTGGTAACGCTGTTGGTTACCAATTTGTTAACCGTGTGACTATTGGTCACTGGAAGCGGAACATTGTTGGGTTGTTGTTGTTGTTGTTGCTGTTGTTGTTGTTGTGTCAAATTTGTTGTCACAATATTTTCCTTCATGAGTTGACTTTGTTTAAGTTTCTTTAGTAAAACCAATTTCATTTCTTCATTTCGCAACTCTTGTTTCAATCGACGCATTCTTCGTTGTTTTCGATTTAGTTCTTCCAAACTCAGATGACTCACTTTGGGCGACGGCGGAAGTGGCAGATCTTCATCGGCGTTAATCGATACAGAATCATCGGAAGCCAGATATCCGTTCACATGATTACCACCGTTAATGGTCTGCGGTGGCGTATCGGCTTCAGACTTGTTCGCATCGCTCGTATCACTGGCTTCATTGGTTACCTCTTGGTTAGCATTGTTGTTGCTGTCATTGCCATTGATTTTATCGGTCGATTCAATAGACGCGGAGGGCATCGATAAATCCAGTGTTACATCCATTGGCTCGGCTTCTTCTGAGTCATCGGTTATCATTGGTTGGTCTTCAACAGTGGTTGGCTTAGACTTGACACTTAAATCCATAGTATTCTCGACCTCATTGTTGTTGTCATTTTTGTCGGTATTGGTATCGCTGACCGTACCCTCAGTTTCGCTGGAAATTATCAATTAAAAAATAAATATAATATAAATCACAATTAATTTTAATCTAAATAATTGATAATTGATATCAATTATTGACCATCAATTGGTCATCAAAAATAACACATCCAATCAAAATACATACGGTTTTTGTGACAAATCTTTTGGTGATTCTTCGGTAAACATGATTTCGACAAAAAAGACACCAAATTGTGTTAATCACTCAATCAATTAAATCACATTAACTTATAGACCATAAGTGATAGCATAGATGATATCAATTGATAATATTTAATATCAATTACTAGAGTAGAGTTTAAACAGTAAAACAAGTGATTAATAATTATAATAATAATTGAATGAATTCATAGTATAGTCAAAAATAGTGAGACAAACAAAAAATGGCATTCATTTGACTCAATTGATTGACTTTATTATTATTAGTGATAAAACAATTGATTGATTCAAATAAATGCTTACTTTTTTCAATATAATCAGTGAATATATTAAGAGAGTGAGAGAAACAATGATTTTCTGAATATAATACAAATCAATGTTGGGATCAAATGTTTAGAAACATTAATAATATCTATTAATTAGAGACCAAACAATTGTCTCAATTATATTATAATCAATGCATTCATTGACTCCTCATTAGAGACTCTCTCTCTCTCTCTCTCTCTCTCTCTCTCTCTCTCTCTCTCTCTCTCTCTCTCTCTCTSTCTCTCTGTCTCTCAGTATTGTCGACACAAAGCTATGTTCACTGAATACGTGTTGTGTTTTTCTGTGTATATCTTATATGTTATATTCAAGAGTTTCAAACCATTCACTCATTGATATAAAAACAATCCGTTTATTAAAATACATTGAAAACAGTATATATTTCTCACTGACTCACTGTCTCACACATGACTGCCTCGTCAATGGTGTGACACTTGTCTCTCAATGATCGCCATCTTGTTGTATATGAGGCCCAGTAGTTGTTTAGTTAGTTAGTGTATCACCACATCAGTGGATCACAGCATCACTTTTGTAATGTATTGGGCATTGAGTTTAATCTCCAAAAACTAATAGTAATCATGTAATGAGTGCTTAGCTCTTAATAAGCCTAACAATAGAGTGTCACCTGTGGGACAAACTTTTTGACTATTGATAATATGTCTATTAATACAGAGTCTATACATTTGTTTAATTAGTTTATATCTATTTTGGATCAATTAATTAATTATAATTAAGGCCTAATCCGGCAGATTAGTTAATTTGCACACAAAAAAACTTTAGCTAACATATTGCTATTTATTTTAATAACTTTTTTTCCTGTACAGTATTACAAACACATATACACTGTATAAAAGTTTTGCCGGTTTCGCAAATAAATGATATTTCTATTACCAATAGAGTAGTAATACGATATACAGTATATCATAGACAGTACTGTAGAATAAAAGATACTGAAGTTATATACATGTAATGTACTGAATAAAACACTTTAATTTATATACAGGTACTATATTTACACTYATACTATGCATTGATATTATTTTTTACTGTAGTATTGATTATCTCTTGGTATATAACTATGAATATATGGTTTCATTATGATCCGTGTATTTAACAGGAGCACCGGGGGATGCCGTCTAATAAGTATTTCATGGGTCGTGGACTCATGGAGTTTCATAAATTCATACAGTATATTCAAAATTTATTTTATAGACTATAATATACTGTAGATGACTATAATTAAAATAAAATTATTTTTTCAAGTTTTAAATATTTTTTTTAATTATTATTATTCATTTTAACGGTTTATACAATTTATATGACATATTTATATTAGTTTATATCATTGTACTAAAAAAACAAACAATAATATTTTAATTCAATATGAAAATACATATCAGTTATTAACAGAAATTGATTGCCAAATAAATAATGAATTAAATTTTTCAAATGACCAGAAAATTATATGATAAATATAACATAACATTTCAAACAATGTATTGTAATAATAAAAGAAAAAAATGTATTTTTAGTGTACTTTACAGTATAAATATTACAATTTTTCTTTTAATTGTAAACTAAATTAATTAAATTTTTGTTTTTCTCTAAAATTCAAATTATTATCAAAATGTATTTATAATAGAAATGTTATTATAATTTATATTTAAAGAGTAATTAATCAATTTTTTTTTATATTTAACTTAACATTAACGGTACAATCAAGTGGCCTGAAGTTTGCAAATGTCTTACAATATTAAAATAATGTTTTTTAAAAGTTGGTATCGTTATAATCATAAGCTTAGAATATATATATAAATATAAATATTGGTTTAAATTAAATTATAGCTAATTTAATCATCAAAAAAATATATAATAATATACAGCAACTCTCTTACTCATATAGATGTGTGTGTGAATTGAATATCTTTTAATAATATTTAATTTAAAAGTTAAACATATTTTTCTATATATAAGTTAATTAACTAATTATTGATCACTTCTTCACACAAGAAACAAAAAATTATGGGTTAAATCATCACAAAATCCTTTCAATCCATAACTAATCTACTTTTACAACACTGTATATCTTGCGGACAAACCAGAAGCAGGCAAAGAAGCCGACAGTTCCGGTCAACAAAAAGAATAGGAATACCATAATCAGTGTATAGCCGAAGTACAGGAGCGTAGATATAGTACCAGTGATCGTCAGTTTTGTCATAAAGTAATGAATGCAATACACAAATAAATAAAACGATGTAAATCCACTCGTGAGGAATGATCTCCACCTGAAAATAAATTAAAATATTAAAATAATTTCTATGAGTTTATTCAGATAATATTTAATATTGTCCACCAATGTGGGTGACAACACTTACCACCAGTGATAATCTTCAGCGCACAGATGGAAATAGCAAAGCAAGACAGTGGTCTCACTGCATGTGATGACCAAAATGGTAAAAACCAGAAACAAGAAACCAAACATATAGTACATCTGATTGGACCAAATGCTGTTTAATATGAAGAACAGTTGAATGAATATACACCCAAAGGGCAGAATGCCTCCCATAACAATTCCCGGCAACGGTTGGGTGTAAATCGACTGTTCCGGTATCTGACGGGGAATCTGATTGGTTCGTACGGGATGTTCGATCGTACGTTTCTTGAATCCGAAATACGCGCCGACAAATGTCAACGGAAGAGATACACCAAACCAAAGAGCGAGTAATGCAATCAATGTTGTGAATGGAATAGCGGCTGAGCTTCCCTTTGCCCAAAGGAGTAGATTCATGACAAAGAATAGGGAGAAGACAACTCCGGGACAGAATAAGGACGTGAGTAATACGTTAAGCTTCCATCGGTATCCACCAAACGCTTTGTAGACACGTGCCGACACATAACCAGCTGGAGTTCCCAAACAGACAAATAAGACAAGAGAACATGTCATGAGAGCGCCACGATTTGCGGGCGACAGGAATCCTAAACAGGCGAAGAATAGTGTGATGACTGTCATACAGAACACCTGTACTCCACTACCAATAAACACTGATAATAGCATTGAATGAACGGGTGGTCTAAACACGTCTCCGTGGACTAACTTCCAGCCAAACTCTTCTTGAGCGTCGTCTTCGCTATCAATTTGATTATATCGAGCGATGTCTTTATGAAGTGTTCGCAACAAAATCATAGCAACCATTCCTGTGAGAAATAGTACGATCACTAATGAGTTCAATATGGAAAACCATTGGATGTTTGTGTGTGGCATCGATTCCAGTATGTAATCCCAACGGGATGACCATTTGACAGTATTATCTTTTACGAAGATTATGGAATAAGAATAATAAACATCGATTTTGTCGTCTTTGGATAGTTTTCCTGGTATTTCCATCGGTGGAACAGTAGGTCCACAATCGTTTGGTTGAAGACTTGGCATTTTCTGATGTTTGATACTTCTGGGAACCACATTAACAGCTATGATTCGTCCGCCTTTATCACCGAAGCTGACACCCCAGGCCTCGTTCTCACCGCTGTGGTATTTGATGGTAATGTCCACGTGATTAAACAAATAAAAGGTGTCTGGTTTGTTGTACACCACATTCATAACACAAGCATCTTTGGCTGTTCCCTGACTGTCCACATAACAGCCAACAGGAAAACCAACGGAACAGTATTGTTGGTCTCCTTCGACCGGATAACACCAAGTGATGGGCATATTGTCGACAATCCAGTGGTGCTGATAGTTCTTAAGCATGCCTTTCATCAGACCATTGAGTTTGTCGACAGCATTCCTATCGCCCAAATCATATGATTTATGGCACAAAGGTTTACATTCTTCTTGTCTTAAAAACGATATATTATAAGGTGACGAACGGATCCGCTCGCCAAAGACAACTTGACCTAAGTTTTCGACGGGTGAGTCACTGAGATCGTCGGCCTGACAGAAGTCAAAGTGCGAGTATTCGTATGGTATGACAGACTCTTCGGAATCCAAACGGTTGACAAACAGCTTGACCTGCGATTTGCAAGTCTCTGATGGTTTGTCGTCCTCGCAGAAGTTGACCGGAGCCAAACCCGGCAAATAAAATGCACGCACTGTCGCCAAACATGTGGCCAACACAACGACAGCCAACACCGACATCAGTGGTGACATCAATCAATCAGACTTCGAGTTTAGCCGCAAAGTGTAAACAATTGTCAAATGCGTCGATAGTATTGACACAACAATCCAAATAATCGGATCCAATTGTGTCGTGTCTTGTGTTCAAAACACTTGCTATCACTGTCTGTCTGTCTTTGTCTGTAACGATGTCCACAATGTGTCCGTCTTCTCGTCGATTGATTCCAACTCACAATACATGCGTTGAATCACTAAAATTCACAGATTATATGCCAATAATGTTATACAGTATTGTAATAATAATGTTATGACAACACATATAATACATATTATAAGTGATACGGCATTACTGTTAATACAGTATTAATGCTTTACAACATTACACACACACACACACACACACTGTGCGCGCACTTTAATATCAATATCATTACTATTGATATAATTATTAATATTATGTGTATTAATGCTTATATCATATGTGTTGGTATATTTAATTTGTAAGCACTTTTTTTAGTTATTTTTAAAAAATCAATTATCAATTTAAACTATCATAAAAAGTAATATATTTTTATCAACAACAAAAAAATTATATTTATTGATTTATTCAAATTATTTAATATAATTATTTTATGCATTTATAATAACTTTTTTGTTGTTGTTGTTTAATTGATACAATTATAATCACATTTGAAAATGAGATGCAATGTTAACATTGGTAATAAATGTAATTTAAATAGGCTATGATTTATTGTTTAATAGATGACTGTTATTTATTTAAAAAATGATAATGTTAAGTTTTTTTATAATCATAGTTTATTATAGTTTATTTAATGCAAAATTACTCTCAACTTAACATATATGTAACTATATTTGTGTGATCAGAATATTTATAAAAATTAATTAAATTATCAAGTTAATTTTTATTAGTTATATTCATTGATTTTTTTATCATGATAGATTTTAAATTTGCAATTATTTTCACATTAAATAACATCCGTAATGATATTGCAATAAATTATGCAATTAAACGGTATATAAAAATTTATATATATATTGTAAATTTATTAACTTAATAGTCGATAAAATTGATTACTATTGCACTAATGTTACAATTTATATGACAATATAAAAATATATAAATAATTATTATATACAATCACGAATAATTATCCGATTTATTCAAACAAGTTCAAGCAAAAAAACTAATAAATTATACTAATAATAACTTTTCATATTATTATTAATTTTAAAATTATTGTAAATTTATTGATATCTTTAAAATCTAATACAAAACAACAACAACAACAATTCGTTTAAATTTCAACAAATAATAGGCTAAAAAATCTAATAATAATTAAATAGTCAAATGATTATAAAAGCAATTTGCATTGTAAACAGTTTATGGCAACAGTTTACTGTCAACTTATTTTAATTATAATTATAAATAATATATGAGATTAAAATAATAAGAGTAAAATTAAAAACAATTATTTAAAAAAAAATCCGTGTCATAAATAAATTATCAAATTGCATACATATTAATTTATATATTATATATAATTTATATAACTGTCTGTTAAATAACTTGTCAATTACCGTAATAAACATTTCGTGAGATTAATTCAAAATAATTTTTTTTGTCACTAAAAAATATATATAAATGTTTCATTAAAAATGCTAACATAATGAGATTTGGCATTGTTTTGTCAACAAATTATTATTATATATAAATATTTGTGTTAAACTTTATAATAAGTTATATTAACTTATGGCAACAAATTTATTAACTAATTTTGCATTCAGGAGCTGAGGTATGGAGTAAATTATCGAGTATTGCTCGGGCCATGTATGCCGACGTCAGACTCTTGTCCTCGCAATAAAATTCTTCGATTCCAACCATTTCCTCGAGATCTACATTATATCTATCGACTCCACCTTTAATTAACTAAAATAAAATATTTTAGGTTAACTAAAATTTTATCACAAATAAAAAATACTTTTTATAAATTATATTAACAATCAAACAAACCATATCTAAGTCTACGGGCGACGCGTCTTTGAACTCGAGTTCTGGATTTCGTTCGAGGATTACGTGAATTATTATTAAAAGCTTTTGACAAACAAATCAAAAGTTAATTAATTGATTGTAAAACATTGTTGTTGTCATAATTATATAAACAGTATTTTAGATGTCATAATATACTGTAACTATGAAATACATATACAAACCTCAACAATAAGTTGTCTGTATTCAGAAGCAGATATGTGGCACAAAAAGTTTTCGACTTTAGTTATGAAATTGAGTTCATTTTGAGACATCATTTTAATAATCGTTTTGGACTCCATGTGCTGACTGCCAACTCGCAATCCCTGAGCTGTTCGTCCCAAAACATCCCAAACTTTATCATAGAAATGCTTTGGCACCCGACCTAATGATCCTTCAATTAGTCGTCTCTCTTTAGGTTTGAGGTCATTATCAGTTAACACTTTATAGAGAACTCGTCTCAACTGACTCGGCGACAGTGCTTCCAGTCGTGTCTCTTCGTGTTTGAAACTCAGATAGTGTTTCATTGCCTCAACAAATGAGCCAACCCTTACTTTAATGATACCATCAAACAAATGAGGAGTCGTTGATATCAGTCGTCCCACATATACTATGATTTCTTGTTGAAGAACAACATCGTAATGTTCGGCAATAACCGAATATAAGAGTTCCCGTATTTCTCTAGGAGTGCGCGGATGATCAATGGCCACTTCTGGATGACCATAAGTGCCTACAGTTATTTGTCGACCGCTCACCAGAATTGATGTTATATATGGCGATATAGAGTCGACCAACTTTTGTAATAGTGAACTACAGTAGCGAACAACAGACCAATGTCTCAGAGCTCCGGCCTGTCTTAACAGTCGTTCCAAACGGTCTCTGACTGATGAGCCTTCGGGCAGATTAAACTGAAGTCCCTCTCTGTGAGCAAGAATTCCCAACAGTTGGCTCTGAGCGTACAGAGTGTCACAACACTTGAGTGCGTCCATAATGTCAGGCCAGGTAGGTCTGTGCTGGTACTGTGCTTTAACATCTACATCCATGACTTCACTATAGACTAGTGCTTTAGGGATATCGGTAAGCGATTGATATCCAATTCCCATTGTGTGCTCCAATTGGCGAAAGCTTTCCAATTTGGGAAGTGATTCGTATGGAAACAGATGCAAAAAGTCCAAGTGTTCAAAACAGGATGAACTGATCAGATTCTGTAGGCGTCCCGTCTTAATCTTAAGACCYGACTGTAAATAACCCTTTTTGAACTCCACTAATAAATCTAACATTTCTTTGAAATGTATGTCCCGTAAGTGTTCTTCTCTAATGAGTATACAAACTGTCGGCCGACCAGACATTCGCCAGTATTTACCGACAAAATGTAATTCATTTTTAATGTCATCAATAAGTAGTGCCATATCGTGAGACAGATAAAAGTCGGACAATTCAAAGGTTAGTGGATAGCAGAGTACAGTTTGACCGGCTATGCGATATAGTTTGCTCGTTCCTAAAGCGCCTATAGGTCGGGATGGTCTTCCCTTTAAACCTAATTTCTTATTTATGCCCAAAAGTTCATAAATCTTAACCAATTGAGAGGGTGGCCATATTTGTACGGGTTCAACCTCAAGTGGTGTCTGAGTTTGTATGCCATACGTTGCCTTTAAAGGCCATATAAATTATTTAATAATCATATAAATAATTATATCAGTATCTATCAATCAATCAATTCATACCATCATTGCCTGTAAACGCATCGATTCAGTAATCAATACAACCTGAACCACTAAATCAGATGCCGTTCCCTAAACATGAAAGTTATTTATTAAATAACTTTTTTTATGTATAAAAATAGTGCATCATTTTTTAAGCAACAATTTTGGGTTAATTTTTTTAGCGCATTCACTAATTTAAATGTTAATTAATTAAAATCAAATAATCACTACTGAATCTACTGTTGATCTGTATAAAAATTTAAAAAATAATTTTCATGCCATTAAAATTGATTATAATTATTATTATCATTCAAATCACACTTATTGATCAACAGAGATGACTTACGTATTTTGCGCCCTTTTTTTAAATATCCAAATCAATGATAACATCCAAAGAAATATAGAAATATTATTATTATAATCAATCAATAAGTTTTTCAAACATTTTGAGAAATATTTTAAAGATTTATAAAAAATTTCAAATTTACAGTAGAAATAAATAGAGTGAACAGTGAATGTTTGAAGAGGTGATGGCCTAATAAATAATTTTTGTAAAAATGTTTACCTGAAATACAGAGTATCGGCCAATTTTTTGGGTGCGATCATAGCTCGGCATAAATCGTCGAATTGGATCCAATTCTACCGGTTGTAATAAGCCATCCGATAACAGTTGTGTTATTATGAGAACAGCCTACCGGTAATAATAGAGAGGGGAAACAGTTAGGTTTTACTCACTACCGGTAAGTGTTCATTAAATTGTTTCTACTGTATTTGGGTAATACTTGCATACCTGTCCCATGAGATAAAGACAAGAACTGTCGCTTCCCTCTTGGCTGGCGAGTCTGGGTGTTGATCCGGGATCAGCTTTTTCGGCATCTACATATTCTGGAGGAACCTAAACAATCAATCAATTTTTTATAAAATTAAACAATTACCGTACGGTATATAGTAAAATAAAAAATATAATTAAAAAAATTATTTACATAATAATATTTGGGTATTAAGTAATCGCCAGTTGCCATATCGATTCGACATAGTTTATTAAATAGTAGATCTTTATAGTATTTAGTTTGTTGTTCGTTGTTCTTAAAGATACCATCGATGGCCATAAAACAGCAAAACAATGGCCAATCGCACTCAATATTTTCAAATCGTTTGGTTTCATCCGATTGATACAACTTCTCTAAAAATTAAAACAAAACAAAAAAAACTAATTATAGACTTCACACTTAAATTTGCTAAATTGCTGTCCAAATCAAACAAACCGCGTTTCTCGAGGACTGTCCCGTAACCGTCGCTAATGAATCTTTTGAAGCCGTAGGGAGTTTTCAGTAGTTTAATAATTTTTTCTTTAGTATTTGCATAGAGAAGCGTATCGTGAGTTGCAAACGCCGGCCAACTAATTGTCGGTAATAAACCTTAGTTTAATAAAATTATTTATATATTTATTTGATYTCAAAACTGCAATAATAAAGTCGTTTTTGAAAAATATTGAAATATATTGTCATTACTTGCATCGGTATTCTTAGAGCTCGACTCTCGTGGTAATAGTGTCTCAAAGATACTTCTATTACGACTGTGGGCATCGATATCAACATAGATGACACTCCAAGAGGCGCCTTTTTCGCCAAAGAGATTGCATCCATTGATGGCCTCGAGAGCAGATTTGGCCAAACCGATAGACGAGGCATTTATTTCAGGTGTTCCCGAATTGTATTTGTTGCCCCTCTCCCACATACCGAAATCTGGTGTCCGATAAGCTCTCTCGACATAATAGACAAGATTCTGGACAAACTGGACCTCATCCATGGTATAAATAATTTGAAGACCCGAAGTAATCATTTGAACCAAAAACAGTAGATAAAGACTAACCACATCTATCTGTAAGTGTCCGTACGTATTGTCATTGAGTGATAGACCGGTGTTGAGATTGACCTTCGAGTGGAGCGCATGTTTGGGACTTTGATTGGTCTTAAACGGTTCCACTTTGTCTTTAGATTGTCTCATCCAAACAAATAGTATTCCTCGCATACATTTGACAGCACTTTGGCCTAACTCGTGACCCTTTCCTCTGTCATCGTCTATACGTTTACTATAGGCCTGAAAGAGGGACCAAACGGCGCAACATATGTATAGCGAGTCCCGAATGTGCGCTTCGGTTGTATCGCATGAGACCCGAGGAAACAAACCACTGGTCGGACTCTGGTGTCGCAGAAGCTGTCTTTTCACTAATAATTATATTAAGAGTTTGTATTGATATTAAAAATAGATAATAATAATAATAATATGTGACAAACCCTGTCCATAGAATTGATCCAATTGTTTGATTCGTTCGGCAAAATCGTTAGTCTTGAGTGCTTCGGCCAAATCGCTGTCCAACGACATGATTATCACCCGAAAACAAAAAATTTTCCGTCCGTTTGACCACTAAATACTTGGTTTACATATTATGACCGATAAATTGATTGTATTATATCATAGAAGTTAATCTGTTGTTTGAATTGTTTATTACAAATGATTGTAAACTTTTTTCTCTTGCATTTGAAGGACAATCTCTCCAATCAATGAATCATATGTTTGAATGTAAACATTTAAATGCATTGCGTTTACAATGAAAATACATGTACTGTATGTATGGATTTAAAAACCCTTTTAAACCATTGATTTAATAACTAAAACTTAAATATGAAGTAATTTTTAAATAATTATTATTGATTTTATAAATAAATAAATAATTTATTAAAATTTTAAATAAAACATGATTTTATTATTTTTTGTTTTTAAATAAATATTAATTTAGGTTTAAATTATAATTGTGGTTAATATAATGTTAAAGCAATTTTGTTTTTTCAAACAAATGATTGTTAAATAACAAAAAAATAATAATAAAAGACTGGAAATTAATGATAATTGAAATGTAATACTAAATGTAGACCAGATTACTAGATAGTCGATCAGCAAATGGTTGAACCAAAGTAGAGGTCGCAAAATAAAATGTCAGACCAAACGCTATGGATATTGGAAGCGCTGGAAGTGCTTTGCGAAATATGGCCAATAATAAGAGTGTCAGACATAAGCCGATAAGTATGGCCACAAAACAGGCCAGAGTTGTGTTCCAATCGCCGTAAGACGAGGCCTTTCCTACCAAAACGCTATAAAATATGAAATCTCCTAAACCTAACTTCACTCCTCTCTCCTCATCATCCATGGCCTCGGATGGAGTCAGCACTTGTCTCGAGGACTCGTTTGCAGAGCTATCGCCTGCCGGTGCTCTAGAATTAGTAAACCCGACGTCTGGTAAGCGTTGGCTGCTTTCATCTGTTTGATTATTATCGTTAGTGCCATTGCTGGTGTTTTCCGCTGTAGCAGTTCCAACATAATAAGCAACAGTTGATGAGTATATGAGTGCCGGAAATATTGTTTCATTTCTTTCTTGTGCCGTTTCCACTAATATTCTTAGYGGTCCTTTAGGACAAAGTACGGCAATCAGATCCCAAACAGAAATGACTCCCAGAACCACCCAAGTAGTCCAGTCGGGTAGAAATTTGATAAATACCAGTGCCATCAAAGCTGATATTAATATTAGGTATGATTGTTGTAGAAAAAGCGGTCCTTTCCAATGAATACATATCATACCGACGACACCGAAGTTCCACATAAACAATGAGACTGTTATTAAGTCCATCGGTATGTTATAGGCTCTCAATACTTCACCCAAATAGATGAACGTAAACAAAAACAACAGCATAAGTGATGATATAATAAGCCATCCGTGAATTACACGATAGCATCGGTACTTATAGAGTATAATCAATAAGATAGTCATTACGACTATAACGCCCATTAATATGAAGGCGTTGGCAAACGATTGCCAAACTTTGGTCGCCGTGTCGACTGTTTGGTCAGTAAATGGTGTGTAAACCATATAGACATTAGAGGACGAGTAGAAGCTGATAGAGTTCATGGTTGCCACCACACAGAACATACAGATACTGACCGGAATGAACAGCTTTATCACATGTTTGGCGCCGTATTTGAGTTCTTCTTCTTCCATCATCGACTGGTCATCGGGTTCGGGACTATTACACAGCGATGGCCTCTGAGATGAGTCGTCCATATTGTCATCATTGCTGACCAGTCGTTGCGGACTCTGACCAGACATCGATGTCAATTGTGAGTCAAGTATACGTCTATTGGAAGCCAATTGACTTTGTGTACCATTTTTATCATTCCTCCACTGTTTCGACCGATTGCCAGCTTTGGATGTATGCAAATCATCGGTACCGTCAGTATCTCTGGTCAAGTGTGACATTTCAACTGTTTGGACCTATTGTGACAAATGGATTGATTAATCGTTTCGTTTTATGGCCACAAATATATTGATGATTGTCATCAAATATATTACCAATTCTTCCATACAATTGATTTATCACTTGTTTTTAATCAACTTTATTGGTGACAATCAATACTATTAGTGATATCTTATAAATTAATAAATTGTTGACATATTTTTGTAGACATTTGTTGACAAAACAAATCACAATATAATATAATATTACAGTTGTATTACTAATACATTGAAAATAATACTAATTTATACTATTATATGACTACACTGTACTGTAATCTGATATTACTGTAGTTTATAGGCTTACAGTAAATGTTGGAAAACTTTGACTGTTTTTTTTTGTTGTGGATAATAGCCATAAAAATAATGTCTATATTGTCAACAAATTGTATTATACTAATTGTATTGAGAGTTTCGATTGCATATTATGTTTATTTATTTTGATTATAGAAATAAAATGTTTTTTTTTTTGAATATAATTTTCAATTGAAATTATAATCAAATTGAATGAATTCATTAGTCGATACTATTTATTATTATTATTATTATTACTATTTTTGGCCACAATTATTGAAGTAAATCAATATTAATAATAATAATAATAACAATGCAATCACTTTCGAGACTAAAGACATTGCTGTCAATCACAAGATTATCACCATTTGGTCGACAATGTAGTCGCCGATCGCTGACAACTATACCATCGCAAAGACATTTGAGACAACAAACAGTTCAACAAATAAATGATGTCTTGACTGCTAATCAAGACATTATCAGTGATACAAACGATGAAAAGCCGATAACTGAAGACACTATCCGTCGACTGAAAGAAATGCATCCGTTAGTGAAGACATTGAATATAAATCAATGGATTAAAGACATCGAAGATCAAGTTATAGGTAACAAACAACTCATCGATGATTTGAATTTAATTAAATGATTACTAATTGTCACTAATTATTACAGATCTGAACGATGGGTCGTTTGACACTCTGTTAGACTCACTAATAGACACCAATTATTTTACTGATAATTCATTGCAAGACTTTTTTAACATCAAAGTCAAGGCAATTGACGGACATTTGTTGTCATCAGTTCAGCCTTTAAGAGGTATTTAAATAGTAATATATTATAAATGAAATAATAATCAGCTATTCATAGTCTATATGCTATCAAATTGATTGAAACATTGATAACAAGTTTATCATTCAATCATTTCATTGGTTATATACATAAATATATTATTATAATTTAAATGTTTTGGCAGAAAATTTATAATATATATTATTAATTGTTAATCAAATACAAAATGATTGTCAATTATCTGAAAATATTTATTAGAAACTATTCTTCACGTCTTAACGACATTTTTAAGGAAAATGCAGAACAGTTTGCTAAAAGACTCATACATTCAGTGTATTTATTTGTCAGTTCAATAAAGTTGATGGCATTAAACATATTGTTTTGGTTGAATCGTTTGGTTTATTAAATCTATTATTTTTTGGATTTAATTAATATCTAATTTATTTTTTATTTTATTTGTTTAGACGAACGATGTTATCAATTGTGCGAAAAGAGTGAATACTTTCTAAAAGTTATAATGAAAAATAAGAGTAAATTTGAGAAGAAATTAATTAAAGATTCTTCAGTCGATGAGAAATCGGTGGACGTCTTAATGACAATGTTTTTGGCCGGCATTTTGATGCACGAGTTGCACGACTTTGATATAAAAACGGGGTTTTTATGGTACAGTCTCTACGGCGGCAAAAATGTCGGAACAAAACCCGATTCAACACTATATTTGAATGACACGATCGCTCTGTCGGCTGAAGCAAAGCCATACATTTCTGCAAAACAATTACCACATTTGAGAGCCCAAGTCGTCGGCCAAATGGTGTCCACAGCCGCACACAATCTGTCGATACATAAGCACTGTTCGCAAACACAATCATTCGGTTTGTTAGTCCATTCAAATGAATATTATTTCTATTCAACGACAATAAGCGCCCGATATTTAGATAATTTGTCGACAAAATTGTTGACTACTAATCATACAACCATTGATCAGTCGACGGATGATTCGCTTTGTATTCATCAATGGTTTTCGGGTAAAGGACTTAATTTTTGTCGAGAAAGTCATCGCAAACTTATCGCACAATTAATTATTTCAATCGCTAATCACTGGAAAAAATGATAAAATTGTTTTTAATGTGTAAATTGTCTCAAAAGTATTACCATTTTAACTAACATTTTGTATATTTGTCTAAAAAATACCGGTTTTTAAATATTTTATTTAAAGTTACGCTAATTAAACAAATATTGTTTACTATTTCTAATAAAATTATATTTTTTATTAAAATAACAAACAGTAATATTCAACACTAATTTGATTTATTTATTTAAAATATAATAATAATATAAATTATAGTTTTAAAAAACATTTAAATGAATTATAATCCGTCCTCTTGTGTCAGTTCGTGAGCCAACTGTTCCTCAGTATTGACGGAAAACATGGAATTTCCTGAACGCGAACCCAATTTTAATGCCTTAGACGGACCCTAAAAGTCAGATAAATTTTTTTTATCACTATATAATGCAATAAAAACTAAGAAAAATAATCAAACCTTAGATCTGATATTTTGTGAGACAGCAGGTGCTGGACGTTCAGCAATAGTTGGCTCGTGTTTAGCCTCACTTAAACTGCTATTAATTGATGAATTCATTGAACCTCCACTCAAACCCCTAAGCCTTTCGATTTGCTGTGTTTTCTGTAATCGACTCAACTCTTTGGCCTTTTCTCTCATCTTTTGTTTTGCCTCTCTTTCCTGTGTTTGCCGGACGGCGACAAACACTCGTTCTTCGTGTGAATCCATTTCGATGAATGTCCTCACTTGAGACATATTAACACTTTCCCGATAACCTATTATCGACAAAATAAATATCACATTTAGTCACTAATAATTTTTTTGTGGATAACTCTCATAACAAACCTAACGCCACGATCTCGTCAAAGGCAAAGATCAATGTAAAGGCATTGTCAGCGATGGACTGTTCATCGGATGTTCCCTTTGTTTGATTTGATGTATATTCACTGATCACTCGTACAAATAGTCTAAAAAACAAATCATTTAAATTATAACAATTTGAAAGTACAGTTAATCCAATCCAAAAAATACCTCAAAGTTTCCAAATCTTCCAAAATATTGGATGTCTTTGTAGTGATGAGAACGCAATAAAGTTTATCCATAAGCGCTTGATATACATATCGTACCTAATTATGAAACAAAATAAATATATATATAGTTATATATAACTGATTGTCAAACAGATTCAAGTCAATTATGAGGACAATTGTCTATTAATCACATAAATAGTCCTAATAATTAAATCAACCAATTTTTGATACATACTGTGTCTGTTTCAATGAAAGTGTGTTGTTTGTCTTTAGTGATCAGTTTAGTAAACGCCGTCAATAGACCTTTCAATTGATTTAAGGATATTTAATAAATTAATTTTTTTTTAAATTAATGACAAAAATAATCAAATGACAGATACCTTCAATCCTAGATCTCGTCATTTCGACAAATTGTCGCGAAAGAAGTATCTTTCCATTCACTTTGGACACAACACCAGCCGCTAACAAAACCTATTGAACAATCATAAAGTGGTCAATAAAATGAAGATAAAACAGTTAAATGATAATTAAGACAAACCATTGTTATTATTGTTATTTTTGATTAATCAAAAGCCACGTCAGCCAACAATTTGTTTTCGTCAGACAATTGGATCCAATCAAACAATCAACTCAGTGGTCAACACAATATCAAGTATGGGATTCAATACAAATGATTAGCTGGTCTTCAATTTGGTTGTGTGTGTGTTGTGAACCACTTCTTTAAAATCATCAGACAATCAAATCATAACATTAAGAGTCAATCAATGTTTTCATTTGAATAAATGTTTTGTCAATAATTTGTGTAATGATTATTATAGGAAACAGATAGAGATGTATGCGGTGCCGGTCATAATATCAGTCGTGTTGGTGTCGATCGGACCACCCATTCATTCACATTATAGGTATTCACTTTTTATACTAACGGTGACGACCCCTACTCTCATACATTTAACTTACAGTAATTGATAGACTGATGTCAGCCATGATTGTCAATGAATGGCAATTGAAATTGTATTAGCGTTTACTGTACTGTATATACACTATATATAATGTATTGCAGTGTTGAGTACAGTGTTAATAGTGTGTGAGTGTGTTGTTATATACTGTAGTTGTATAGAGTGTATACTGTATATTAAGAAACAGTGCTATAGTGTGTGTCTGTCTGTATGTATGTATATGTAGTATAATATTCTATGTATTATTATATAGCAGTAGTTTAGTACTACTCTCTTATATTATTATACTGTATATACATATATATATATACAGTATATATACAGCACTACTACTATATGGTGTGTTTGAGTGCAGTCTTTGTGATGAGTAGTGAGCCCTCAAAAAGCGGTCAATAATTGCTTATAATATTGTGAGTGGTTTTTGGTGTACAACTTATAGTCACACTTATAGATAGATAGACTGACTGTGTTTGTGATCACTGTTTGGTTGTGTGTTAGACACGGATCGGCGCCAACAACACCACCACTACTACAGTAGTGCGACAACCAAACCAACACCTGACTGACCAAACAAACCAGTCCGCTGTTAACCATTCAGATACTGTTCCCATCTATTACTACTACCACACCATATCATTGCACAATACAAACGTCAAGAGAGTGAGAGACAGGAAAAAAATTGGGCGCAAATACTGCCGTCACATAATCAAGACAACTGCTTAAAGCACCGGCACTACAATTGATGACCACAACCACGACGACGGCACCAACTGATCACTTACTCGACTACTACTACTAGTATTAACCGATTTGTTTGATCAAAACATATACCCATTTAATTACATATAGTATTATACGACTAAATAATTGCTTTGATTTAACCACCAAAAGCACTGCCCATTTAGTGTCCCAACAAATGTATGGATAGTTTTTTTTGACAGCAATTTATTTATCAACAAATAATTGTTTGTTTTTTATAAACATTTTTATATAGGATTTACTAAAATGAAAGACAATTACTGCCTATTGAAGAAAGCAATGCCATACGGATAGCGACAATCTATTAATTTTGAATTAAATAAATTACTAATAAATGTTGACAATTGCTAATAATAGCGATACCATTGATGTAATTGTCAGTAGTAACCATCCGAGTTGATGATGGGCTCGAAAAGTGACCAATTTGTTAGCGATTTGGTCCAATTTTATCGTAATCGAGGACATCATAAGTGAGTTATTTATACATTTTATTTATTTATTAACTTCTTTGCTGATGAAAAACCAATGTTTTTATATTTATTGTATTTGTGTCCATACAGTACACAACCGCAACAATTAGTTCCCCGAATTAATGGCAAAGTTGTTGATTTGAGTCTACTTTACAATTATGTCATCGAAAACGGCGGCAGTTTTAAAGTAACTCAACTCAATCTCTGGGATGATATATACTGCAGATTATTCAAGTGAGTACTTGTTTTGTTTAATTATAATCATTTTGTGTGTGTCTTATCATTGTTTTATTTTTTGGTGTAATTATAAAAATTATTTTGTTTTTTAAGGACAACAACGACTGGTGCGAACATTTCGGTGGCTTTGCGGCAGATCTACAGYCGATATCTGTTGGCATATGAAAAGGTCTTTAACTCTAACTTCACTAATGATTTGCTCGATGAAGACGAAGATGAGAGGTATTTATTTTTATATCCAATTATTATTGTAATTCAGATATTTTCTAAACTATTATTTTATCTTTTTTTCCAGCAATTATTCTTTTAATACGAGTCATAATTACACTCATAACCACTCCTTTAACACACAAACCTCTACAACATCTTCATTAATATTGCAATATACCTGTGCTTCGAGTCTGTCCGCTAACAATATTACCGAAAATCGTAATCCATTAAATAAATTGTTGTGTTCACTATTGAGTGGTTTACCAAATGAGTTGGATTTTGCTATAAAAGTGTCGACAATACTCATTAACTCGAATCGATTTGATTGGTGTTCAGACTATAAGTTTATTAATCTACTGTTGGAGTGCTTTAAAAATTATTGCTGTGTTTGTGAACAAAATGACAACTTATCCATTAAAAAATTGGATACAAATAATATTGACGATTGGTGTCTACAGGAAAGCTCTTGTAATTGTTATACCAAATTTTGGTACCAGTGTTGCAACAATGAACAATCACTTGAGTTAGTGTTTGGTGCACCCGATCCTCATATCGAGGAACTGTCTGATGAAAGTTATGCGAAAATCAAAGATCGAGTCCAACTCGTAGCCGACATCATAAGAAACTTATCGTATACTTATGAAGTTAATCCACAGGATTTAGTTCAGCAAACGTCCGGTCCAGTGGCCACACCTGTAGTTTTAAAATTTTTATTACTTTTATCCAGTTGTTCTGACCAACAATTCAATACAATAGCATTGGACATATTGGCCAATATATCGTCGACCACTGCTTTTATTGTTGATGACAACGATTATACAACAATTCAACAATTATTACAYCGTCGGTGTGTCGACCTAGCGATGACCAGCAATAATATTTTGTGGACGAGTCGGTGCCTCGAAATTGTGTCACGACTTTTGTCATCAAATGTTGAGGAGATTAACACATTTCTTGAAACAACTCTTAGGCAATACGAGGTATTAATTGATTTTTGTTTTTTAATTATTTGATGATTTAAGTAGAAGTAATAATAATAATACTATATATTCATAATATAGTACTTAATAAATAGATATAGTACTGATTGATTAATAATAATTGAAAACTAAAATAATTATTATTAGATACCTTTAAGCTTTAATATTATAATCTTAATGACAAAAATTAATGAATAATTATGTCCGTCTTTAGTTATTGCATGTATAAGCGCACAGTTATGTGTGACAGTTATATTAATATGTTTGTGTGTGTGATATGTGCTTTAAGTGTCGTATTCGCGCTCTAAATGTATTTCAAAAGTTATCTTCAATTTTATTTCACTCCTCACAAGTCATAATCACTGGTAATATATTGAGGGCATAGAGTGAGAGTTGGCTTCACCTTAACTGTAAAAAAACTACTGTCTCAGACACAACACAACTATATTGTTGATCAAATGATTCACACATTGGATTTGATGCACACTTCACACAAACACAGACACACAATCCTAATGTATACAAACCATAATCAAATCGATTGAGTTGTTGTGTTAGACACTACCGATTCTCTGGGTTTCCCAACAATGCAATGCTTTGGACGCCCAGAATATCATTTAGGAAAYAGTAGTTATTCAATACAATAGTATATATATATATATTCTGTGTTATATATATTTATGTGTGTGACGATTGACATTATCATTAACGATGTCTTTATGTGACTATAATTTTTCAAATAATTTATTGAATACTTATATATATAAACAATTTGGTGACACATATAAACTACTAATAATTAATCACTGATAACCTATATATTTCAGTATAGCATGTCTTTGTATATAAATCCTAATTTTTTTAAAACATTTTATATTTACCTGTAATATTTTATAAATAAATAAATATAAATATATTAATGTCTATTAGGAAAAAAATAATTTTTATTATATATATCTAGTATATGTTAAATTTTTTTATAATTATATATAAACATTTTCTAAATTATTAAGTGTTTAATAGAGTTTATTTAATTAATCTTTTAGTATTATTTAAAGTAAATTTTCAAAAAATGACACCATTTTCTATACCATTAAAAGTTTTATTAAATTTTTAAATAAATTAGTTTTGTAATAGTTTTTTATATTTTTTAATTATTTAAATTGAATGTTGTGTAAAACAGCTATAAATATTCATGTATATATATAAATAGTGTGTACTTATACAGTACATGTTCAATTATATATATAGTATATATATATTGGTATATAGAAATGCAATTATTAAAATAAATGCATGATTTTGTTGCTTTAATCAATAACCTATAAAATTATTTATAAAATCGGGATTTGCATAATATTTTTATAAGTAATATATTATATATATTATGTAATGTTGCGAAATTTTTATACGAAAAAATTAAGGATAATATATTTAATGCCTTTAGTGTTGTTTAAGTGAATTTTTTACTGGRATTTAGCCTATATTTTGGTTTATAAATTTTTTAATTTAAAATATTATAATTTTGATTGTAATAAATACTATATTAATTTGATTTATAATTGATTATGTATTTTATATTTTTAAAATCAATTAACAGGTCTTCACACGCATAACACACCTCATGACCTGTCAATACGACATCACATTATTATTATCAATACTAGAGTTTTGTTTAGCCCTTTCCGAACAAAAGCCTTATATGTTGCTTAAAGATGACAATAAAAATTTGATCAGTAAGTGATTGACAATATTATTATTTTATCACTTTATTTAGATATTAATATCATGTGTTTGTTTTGTTTGTCCAGAAATATTGTTAACACTTCTCAATTGTGAGTCTTCTCAACATTTTACGACATCAGCCTTAAAGCGCATGAGAATCATTGACGACAGACCCAAAATTCAGTCGGGTTTGGCCACAGAATCGACGAATTCAACCAACGAATCGACGACATCAACCAACAACAACACAAACTCTCAGACCAATGGTTTAGATAATGAAACGTTTGCCATGAATTGGCTAAAACAGACATTTGAGCCAAATGTCAATTTAAATGAAAACCAATCATTAAAAGCTGCCGACATTTATGCCGAGTACGTGAAAAATTGTTGCCGAAACTCTCGTCGCAATGTAATGTCAGCCCAAACATTTGCGCAGCTCATCAAACGGTGTTTCCCATCKAGCAGTTTAACCAACAATCAGACAACTGTTGAAGGATTAGTTCAGAAATCGACATTAACGACACCAAACAAGACAATACCGGCTTCGCAGATGATGTCACCCATTCTGAAAGCACATTTGAGTGCACCGCCTAAACACAATTCTTCTCCAAACAACACAAATACTAATTCAAATAATAATAATACTATTAATACAAGTATAGCGATGACCACAACTTCTAGTTCAAGTTTGCAATCGACAACTAATACATCAACATTAATAAAAAGTTTATTAGCAAATAAATTAAGAAATAATGCAACAAATTCAACGACAACTACATCAGCCACAACACCGACGACCACATCCAACATAATTACTTTACAATCAATCTCTCAGACCAGTTCACCCGCTGTCACCACCACTTTGAGCACCTCCATTACACCGACTAAGTCAGCACCTAATCCATTAACAATTCAAACACCACCTGTGAGACAACCAACTATATTGACGACACAGAATGTAACGCCAATCCAAACGATATTTACAACGACGACCACACCTCATACAACATCCGGTACTGAAATATCTGTTATTAATAGCAATCAATCGGCAACACAGTCGGCGTCATTACCATCGGCGCTGACATTTACTCCTTCGCTTACATATACAACAAATAATACTTTGATTAGCACATCGAATGCACACAATTCTCAGACACAACAACCGCAACAGTTTTTGTTAGTTCGTACAATCATTGCGTCTCCCAGTCAACAACCGGGTGGTACTGGCTTTACAGCTACCGGTACTCCAGTGAGACTATTATTGCCGGCCAGTATGTTGACACAGCAAAGGCTAAACAATCCCATCATCAATGGAATGACCACTTCTGCCGTCTCCAGCATAACCACAAGTACTGGTAATACAATTGTGACGGCAAACACATCAGATGTTTTTCTTAAGTCAGTTCTATCCAACACAAACTCGACTAATTCAGTGCCTGTAAGAAGTAATGTTAAATCATCGCCATTGTTGAACGTATTATTGGATAAAGGAAAGTTACCCGAATCTGCTGTCATCAACAATCAGATTAATACAAACTCTAATACAGCAACCCTTATGTCTACTACACAACCGCCCAAAATGTATATCTTGACGACAAAGTCTCCGATTGCCATTAAAAATTTGCCACAATTGCAGACACAAACGTTGAATCAAAACAATATACAATCCTCGGTCAACGTCTGTACTCCCATACAAACGCAGACAAATACAACGCTAAAGGCTTGTCTTCAAAGTCCACCCATTGTTAACACAGCGACAGCAATACAGACTACTCTATCGCCAACTCTAACCATTAATACGTCTAATCATTCGACTGTAAATAAGCCATCGATACCAAAGATAGCGACCACAATGAATGGCGAAGTTGGACCAGTTGTTCACGCAGTCAATAATGTCAATATTGTCACTACTGTTCATAACACGACAAACACAGTCAACAATTTGATTGTCACTGTTAGCAATCCGTCTCAAGTATTAACAACAACAACAACAACTCCAGTATCACCTCAACTAAAGAACATATCAACAAATTGTGTTAATTCTGTCAATTGTTTGCCTTCAACTGATTTGTCTCCAATCAAAGATATCAAGAAAGCGGTCGACGACGCGACCAAATTGATAACAAAACGACGTAATGATGAAATTGATGGCAGTGGTGATGACAGTAATGCTGCCAATAAGAAACTTAAGATCAATTCGGTGATATCCATTCCCACCACAACAACAACTGTCATCACGAATTCGATACCAAATCACGACTCAAACTTAAGCCTGGAATCAAATCTATCCGATTTGAGCACAACTGCGATCAACAATTGTGTTACAAATACTATTACACAACAATTATTAACCAAATCTTCGCCACAAATCCTGACAATAAATACTATGCCTTCATCTGCTATCACAACCATAACTGCAAATAACGCCAAAAGCAATTCGACAATAAATGCTGTAAATAATAATTGTAATACAATTAAGGATAATAATAATGCCATTGCAATCATCAATAACAATGCTATCACTACTAWCAGCAATGTTAACAACAATACTACTACAACTACAACAACAATCACTGAATTTCAGTGTCAATGGGGTGATTGCAAAAAGTAAGTCCAGTATTATTTTGTATAATGAAAATATCCGATTCTATCAAATTGTTTGACTTAATTTACAGGACGTTTAGCCGCGCGACTGAAGTTTTTCTACACGTACACAACCATCACATAATGACTCCATCATTCCCTGCTATTATGAACTGTATATGGGGTGGACCTGAAGGAACAGGACCCGGATGTCTATCAAAGAGACCAAAGTTTTCACTGTTAACCCATCTATTGGTAAAAAATAAATAAAGATAATTGATTTTTGGTCCTAATTATATTAAATTGACTAACACTGGTGATGTTATTTATTTTTTATTTAAAAAAGGATTTTCATTGCAATCCAAATATATTGCAAAGCGATTGTGTACGTAAAAAGCAGATATCATCAGTGGGTGCATCAAACATAGTATTGCCACAACCACCGGCACATCCCGGTTACGCACAAAACGCTGCTCTTTTGGCCATCCGAAGACACGCAACCAATTATGTGGTATGTGTTTTGGTAGTAGTTTTATTGGAACCACTGCTACCACTAATATTTAAATAAATTGTTTTTTCTTCAGGAACCACCGACATTGCCTCCGGTGACTAAACTGACACCACTGACCGTTAGTATTAGGCTAACATCGGCTTTGATTCTCCGAAATATGGCCATTAACTCCAACTTTGTTAAAAGGTTTGATAATAGTTAACATTAGTAGTAGTAGTAAATGAATTGATCCATTAATTCTGGTTCTTCTATGTGTTGAAACAGATCACTTGAATGCTTTGAACAATATTTGTGCGAACTCTGTATGACTGACGGACGAGACGAATCGCGAACTATAGCCCAGTGTTTGGCTGTCATTACAAATAAATCATGAAATCAATAGACTAACTGTACATATAATACATACAAACAAAACAGCAATTATTATATATTTTTTAATTATATATAAATATACAGTATATATAAACTGAGTCTCAAATACTGTGTGGTCATCATTTTATCGATAAAAAAATCTAAACAAAAACATTGCAATACTTGTAACCAACCCATTAAAGGAGTTAAATGTGAATCTCCTGTTCACAGACACACACACATACACACACACGTCATCGCCATTAACTGTCATATTATATATTGTTATTTAATTTAAATGCAAAAAAATGTCATTTTATAATAATATTGAGATATAATTTAATAATTATAAACATACAAACAAATAACAATAATTTTTATCAATTGAAATATTAAATTATTGACAAATATATATACATATTATATATATATAAATGAGAAAAAATTATTGATAAAAAATTTTAAATTGATTTTATGAATTTAATAAATTATTGATTTATATTTAACCCGTAAGTGTTCAACAATTATTTGGTTTAACTCTTGTTGACCATTCAATAACAGTGAGAAGTATTCGTTATGAAAACATCTATCGGTTCCCAAATGCAATTGAATTTGTTTCTGTATTTCGACCAACTTTTCAAAGATATGATTCGGTAGTGGAACTGGAAGTATACGACAAACGTCTATATAATCGATAACCGAATTGATATAATTTCTGTCATTCAGATCTGCGGACATTTGTTTTGACAATTGATTGCTATCTAAACTATTACTACTGTTGTCTGTGTCTACTCTTGTCTCGTACATCACCAAAGTTTGACCAGTATTTTGATGATAATTGTCTGAATTATTATTATCAATAGTTTTGTGAAGTTTGAGTCGATGTCTCTTCAATGCCGATCGATCATTGAAACCGACGGCACATACGTTGCACTCATACTCTCGTCGATTGTCATGTATTTTCATGTGTCGGATCAAATCCGATCGATATTTGAATGTTTGGCCACATTTGTCACACAGACAACTCTTGTAGTCGTCGTGAGACAATCGATGCGATTTCAGCGACGACTTAGTCGGAAACTGTTTGCCACAGATGTCACACGTCTTGGCATTAGTCGACACAACAGTTGTCCGTTGATTGTTGTCGACGACGTCGTGTAGTTTCTGATGTTTCTTCAGATTTGATGTTTGTCTGAATGTCTTACCGCAGACGTGACACTCAAATGGTCGACAATTTGTGTGAATGTGTTTGTGTTCAGTCAGTGATGTATTTCTGGTGAACACCTGATGACAGACATCGCACTCAAAGACTCGTTTCGTTGGACGCAATGTCGTCTGATTCAAGTCATCGTTGTCTTCACACGAGTGGTCCATCAAAATCGGCGGTCAATTCATTGATAAATAAATTATTTTTTTTTTTTAAGTCAACAAAACTATGCTTTAAAATTCATGTCAATAGACATACACACAAAGGACGTCTACATTAATTTTTTGAGTTTAAATGCCCTCTAAGTTCAGTCACAATATCTCAAACATTTTATTATAATATTATTAATATAAATCATTTCCCCCTCAATGGGGACAGTAATTGACTCAATGGACGTATTTTATGTGTTGTAATATTTTAGGTGTACTTTATTTTTGATGTATTGTATTCTATATTGTATTACAAGTGTTTCACTTTTTTTTGCATTCAATCAAAACATTTTCAATGTATTATTAAATGACTGTTTCTTTTTTAGATTAAAATCATATTATAATTACAATTAGTATTTATATTCCTCTATATATACAGTATATATAAAACGATTATTATTGCGAACGTATAGTGTATTAGTAATGACTACTACTGTGTAATAGTTTTTTAGTGTATTTTATTTTTTATTTATATTTTAGTGTGAATTGTGTGGCAATTATTTAATGTGTGTTTTGAAGTGAACACCAGATATCATAACAAAACACAACACATATTATAATATATATATAATAATAATAATTGTGTYGTAAATGGCGTTAAAAATGTTATAAACAGTGAAATAGAGAGAAAAAACAGATAAACAGTTGACTAAACAGTCGTTTTAAATAATCAATGGTTTTGTGTTTTATTTTATTATAATTTATAACAATTTTGTGTTTAATAATAATTTATATAAATTCAAAACTAAATGACAGACTATTTGAATGTTAAAAAAATATTACATTAAGAGTATTGTTATTATTGAATGTCTTTTAATTAAATAATTTTAAACATATTCTGATATTTAACTAAATAATAATAATATTAATAATAATAATTAAAAAAAACCAATAATTGACTAATATTTGTGTGATTTGTTTATATATCATATGATATATACTAATAGTTAACTAATAATTATTTGATTTTTTAAATTTTATTATTGAAAGTGATTTTTAAGTGCCATTTAAGCGACCAATTGATTGATTAGTTGGACAATAAAATTTTAGTGACCATTATATCGACAGACAGTTAGTATTGATCATAAAAGTTGAGTCCAAATGAATCGCACCGAAGGTCTTGTTCAGCGACGGATAGTCAGCAACAATACAAACAATGATAAGACTGCGAACCATAACAACGGTACCGACTATGAGGCCAACGGCGACCCGAAGTCCAGTTATGACAACGACTATAAAGACGAAGACATTGACTCGAAAGATACGAGACTTACACTTATGGAAGAAGTGCTTCTCTTAGGACTCAAAGACAAAGAAGTATTGAAAATGTCTTTCAAAATGTTTTTCAAATCATATGATTGTCTAAATTATTTGATCTGTTAATAGGGATACACCTCCTTCTGGAACGACTGTATATCGACGGGACTGAGAGGCTGTATATTAATAGAATTAGCTCTTCGCGGAAGAATACAACTCGAAAAGGTTGGACTCAGAAGACGATCGATTTTGTTGAGGAAAGTGCTCCTTAAGAACGGGTCGCCAACTGGTGATGTGCTTCTCGACGAAGCGCTCAAACATATCAAAGAGACCGAACCGCCTGAAACACTGCAATCATGGATTGACTACTTGAGTGGTCAGTATCCAAGTCGTCAAATATAATTAAGAAAAAATATTAACTTAATTTGATTATTGTCTTGTATTTTAGGTGAAACGTGGAACCCATTAAAACTTCGCTATCAATTGAAGAATGTTAGAGAAAGATTGGCGAAGAATTTGGTGGAGAAGGGAGTGCTAACCACCGAAAAACAAAACTTTTTATTGTTTGATATGACAACACATCCATTGGTCGACGCAACGGCTAAAAGCAAATTAATTAAGAAAGTCCAGGACTCAGTATTGTCCAAATGGGTCAATGATCCGCACCGTATGGACAAACGGTTGCTGTCAATTATATTACTGGCTCATAGTTCCGATGTCTTAGAAAACGCTTTCGCACCCCTGAGGTCTGTATTATTATTATTTATTGAAACAAATCTCTTATCGTATAATAATTTGTTTATTCATTTCCTCATCATTTTTAGTGATGATGACTACGAAGTGGCAATGAAAAGGGTTAGAGAGCTCTTAGATTTAGATATGGAAACGGAAAGCACTAAAGGAAACGCCTGTGAGATAATGTGGGCAGTGTTTGCATCGTTTGTCAAATAATAACTAATTATTAGCTAATATTTATTATTATTATTATTATTAATTTGTCATTGCTTTTCAATATAGATGAATATATATACTATTATTTATATATAAATATCAATTCCTTATGAAAAAAACTATTAAGGAATTGTTTTTTTTTTAATAAATACAGATACTGTATATTGAAATGATTTGATGTGAAAATATATGCACAGAATATGTTGAAATTGAGATATTCATTGACTGTTTTTAAAAAAACTAATTTGATTATACTGTATATATATATATAAGTATAATTGTAATGTAAAACTTGTATTATGTTTCATATATTTAAAATTATTTTCTGTATTGTTTTTATTTTATATATGCATACAATATTTTCCATCAATATTTTGTTCAAATTATTTTAAAACAAAAAATTTAATTTAATTAATTAATTTGTTGGGACCATTTCTTAATTAGTTACAAACAAAACTAACAGTTGTTTTATTATTATTATTATATCTTAAGATATCTTCCAGTTTTTAATGAAATAAAATAAATATATATATATATAATAACATCAATTCTAAAATATTTTTATTAAAAATTTAATAATAATTATAATAATATCATTTATATTGGAAACAACTATAATAAATTATATATATAAATAAAAATCAAACAAAAAAAACAACAATCGGTAAAATTACACATCATCATAATCATCAAATATAATATAATTTATATTATTTCTATTATTACTGTGTGTAGTTATATATTGCATATCATTTTTATATATTTTTGTGTAAACCGGCTAATTAGCAATAATTATAATTTTTGTAAAATAATGATTATAGTTTAAAAATCACGTCTAAATTTATATAAATATATATATATATATATATATATATCACTGTACAGTATATCATAACAATTTTTTAAAACAAAATAATAACTTTTTTTTGTTTGTTAGAAAATGGCTTCAATACTTTGGAAATACTTTATATATTATATAATAATTGGCATTTATGTTAATCACAATTGATTGCAATATTTAGAAAAATTGTGTGAATTGTTTACTAAAAATTGTAATAATAAAAATAGATACTATATATACTGTATTGTAATACTTTTTTTATAAGGCATTCAAGTATTTATTAGCAAACATATGGCATTTGGGTAAACAATTATACCTTTTTTTAATCTCAAAGAATGACCGGTCATTGATTGGTTTGATTATTGCATTGCGAATCAGTTAATATTTTAATAACAGATTTGACAGATTCGGCATCAAATGAGATGTTGTCTAAGTCGACAAATCCGACTTTGGATCGTTCGCTCTTTGCTAACCACTTTCCCGGCGGATTTGCTTCCATTCGCAATATAAGAACTGTTTCTCCTTTGCGCACAAACAGGTCATACCTATTGCCTCTGTTGTCTTCCTTAACAATGCCAGCGTTAACCGGTATCTCATCGCCCGTCAGATTAAACTTCTTTCTTAATTTAATTGCTTTGAGATTTTGTTTCTTTTCAAATGAACTCAACTTTGAGTCTACTTTCAGATTATCTTTACTTCCATTTAGATTCTGGTTTTCACTGTAATGACTGTCTAAAGAAATGGTAGAATTGGTCGACAATAGGCTATCATTATCTGTTTCGAAGTCCTTTTCGAATGGAAGTACTTCATAGATTCCGTCCAAATCATAGGCCGATTCTTCATAATAATTATCATCGCATGAATACAAATCTTTATCACCAGTGGTTAAGTCATCGTAATTGTCGATTCCTTCGTAAAGTTGGTCATCACTTTCATCTTCATTATCCAGAGTTGAATATATTTGTTCTTCAGAATCATTATATAATTCATAGGTATTGGGCAACAAATGATTGTATCCATTAATCTCAAGTGTGTCCTCATAGTAGTCCTCTTTAGGTTCTTCGGGAGGTAAGGGCGCCGGCGGTCGAAATATGAGGATAGGCGGCGGCGGAGGATCTCTGGTCGGCTTAATTGGTCTGATTTGGCAAACATTTGAGGAATGGCTATTCATTTGGCAATTTTTATCACTTTTTTGAGCACTTCTTTTGCGAAGAGAGAGTAATTTACTCTTTTTGAGGATTGATTTGAAGGTTGTCTTTGATTTGGTCATACTTTTCGGGGTCTTTGACTCTATTATCGGAATAATTGTCATGTCTTGCGTCACATTCGTTACATTGCTTTCAATGTTAGATGAAATAGATGTGAGATTTTCGTCAAACTTTGGCAAACAATTTAACGAATGTAATGAATTTGATCGCAAATTATTGTTTGCTTTAAAATTTAATTCATTTAACTCTTTTGTCAGCGAAGCTATCAAAGAGTTAGATCTCTGATTCTTATCTCTAAATCTATCGCTGCATTCAATTGGCATAACTTTGTAATCACATGAAGACGAAGACGACTCATCGTATGTTTGATCAATGGATCTGTTTTTCAATAAACTTTTGCGAGGCATAGGAACAGGTGTTGCGTTTTGGTCGACGCCGATCAGTGTCCTTAACAGCGGCGGTACTTTGATGTTACAGTTGTTGTTGGACTGTCTGTTGGGTTGTTTAGCATTTGTTCGTTTCGGTCGCTGAGGAATCACATCGATGTCCTCAGACTTATCACTTGAATCTATTGCTTTTGCTTCTATTGTGTTCGTCAACTCGTTATCGGCGGACGTTATCGGTTTGAAACCAATCAATCTGTTGTCGAAAAACTGACGCAAAGACTGAACTTTTGGCGCCACCGAAGTATTGTCCTCCACTTCTTGTTGCGCCAAATCGTTGTCTTGTTTTTGAGCCATTGGTTGGTGTCGTCGCCAATGGTTGCGGTCATATCTCGATCATCGGATCCATTATCACTACAGAGAAGTACTATTGGTTTTTGCAGACATTTTGCTGGTGTTTGGCGTTTGATTGCAATCCTTGACATACATTCACATGCAATGGATGTTTGTATTTCACAAATAACATGACTATCGATAAGTTTTTTTTGGGGAAAAATAAAAATATATTATAAAATATATTGTAATATAATTTCAAAATACAAAGGGATTAACAAAATGTTAACATTTTATATGTAATGAACACATGATTTACATAACAATAAAATAAATAAAAATATTATTTTATGAATGAATTGTCAAACAAAACAACTGATGTTTTGTTTGATATTTTTTGATTGTATTGTCTGTTCGGAAAAGTCCAGTCATTTGCCGATCAAATTATCGGTCAATTTTGTGGTCAATAAAATATTTTTATTGTCACTTCCATAGCCTCGGCAACTGATTGGTCACTGAAATGGTCTCAAAACGAAAAATTAGATTTGTTTTCACCGAAAACGAGAAGGTCTTGTGGTATGTATAGTGTTGTGACAACTATTTGTGTTATTGTTTAACCACTGATTGTGTTGACCACCGATAGCTACGAACCGGACCCGAAAAAGGCGAAAGTTTTGTACGAAAGCAAAATACTTCGGTGTTGTATTGGAAAGGATGGAAACGGCAAGAAGTGTCCGCAATATTTGGTTCATTTCTACGGCTGGAACTCGTCGTGGGATCGGATCGTCAAAGAGTGTGATATTGTCAAAGACAATGCACACAACAGAACACTTCAGAGACAGTTGGCTGAGAAGGCGGCCGTCGGTCTCCCGAAAGGCAAAAAACTCAAACTCAACAAAATTCCGGCCATTATTAAGGAGATTGTAGTCAACAATACCAACAATGGTTCGCAAAGTGATAGCGACGACGACACCAATGATATGGACACCAACGACACCATTAGGTTTGATGCCGACGAAGACACACAGGAAGACACCGATAGACAGTCGTCGATCACGTCTGACGACTATAACTCGTGGAACAGTTGCCGAACGAGTATCAGAACGAGTGTCAGCAACGATGGTATGACTACTGAGGCCAACACTTACGATGAATCCGATTCTCAGTCACTCATCTGTTGTCTGACCATTGAATTGAAGACTATTTTAGATAAGGATTACATTCATTCTGCAAAAAACAAAACTTTATATGATTTGCCACTAAAACCCAATGTCTGGCAAATCATCGACGAGTTTAGTGTCAATACAAATATCAATCTTTTAGGCGATTCCAACACAAACACTAACGAACAAAATGATAATCATATTGTCTCTGAATTCAAGAATTCAATGGAAATCTATTTCAATGCACTCATTGAAAACAATTATCTCTTTTATAACGAAGAAGAAAAAAAACAGTTTAAACAAATTCAGAGTCAATCGGACGATACATTTAATGCGATCACTGTTTACGGATTCATACATTTGTTGCGTCTTATGGTGACAATCAGTGACTTCTTGTTGTCGACACCGGGGATGACTAAAGAACAGCTCAAAATCATTGTCCGACTTATTAAACATTTTGTCGATTATTTAAACAAAAATCGTATCAATTTCTCAACACATCAAACATAATTCATTCATTTCAATCTCAAATCAATTGCTTTCAAAATAATGTATTTAAATTCTGTGAAATATTTATTTATATATTATTTAATATTTTTATTTACATACTATATATATATATATATATTGTACTTATCTATAAAATTCATATTTACCAGAGATTTCATAACTTTATTTTAATAAAAAAATATTTAGATATCACAAAAACAATTCATTTACCTATTTATCAATTAGTGTGATTCACTAGCGATGTACTGAAAAAAATATTTGATGAAAATAAAAAAAAACTCAATATATATATAATAATTTATTGTAATTATTTCCCATAGTTTTTTTTATTTGTAACATTTGAAATTCAAAAAATTGCAAATTTTTAAATATTTATTAATAATATATTTTGAAAAAAGTGAGTTAAAAACCTAAAAAACAATACTTATTATTATTATTTTTTTCAAAAAAAAAGTTTCCACATTCCATCCAATTAATTATATAACTAGTAAATATCAATTGAATCAATTTTTTTTGTCATTATATATTTATAATATTTTGTTACCGCAAAGTAAGTGCATAGATGAGGGCAGACACACACACACATACATACACACACTCACTCATAACCACATTATTATTATTACAAATCAGTTTTGTGTCATGGCTTACATAAAAAATATGTATTACAATACAATAAAATTAAAAATATATAATAAATTATAAATTTATATATAAAACATGTGTATATTCTGTATATATTGCAAAATTTGGTTGCAATATTATTTTGAAAAAAAATATTTTGCAATAATTATGATAAATGTAACTTTTTCTAATAAATTTGTTACAAATTTGTCTGCACTAATTGTACAAACTTTGCGGTATTTTTTTAATTATAATAATTTTTTATTACATAATTAAGTAAATATAACCAAATAATTATTATAAATAATTTATAATGACTTACAGACAAAAAGCATTTTAACTATATATATAAATTGATAGGAAAGCCCTAAAAACTGTTTCATATCTCAAATATAATAATCTCAAATAACTTATCTATCAATCAATATCTCTTAAATTATGATTTTTTTGAATATTTTTATGAGTTCCGTCAAAATTAAGTTAATAATCATTTAACTTAACACATTATAATATATAAATTAACGTCAATACAAGCAAATTGACAAACAATTAATATACAATTTTATAATGTATTGTAAAAATCACAAAAATTGTATAATAATAGGATATGCAAGAAAATGTTGCATTAAAATTGAATAATTTATTATTAAAAATGAGGCAAATTTGATCATAACATGCTTTTTGTCTTTAAGTAATTATAAAAAATCCACTTTTTTACAATAAAATCCATTGAATTTACAAAAATGATCAAAAAACTTGATAAAACAATTCTCAGTAAACAATGATATTTTATATACAAATTTCATGACTTATTTGCTGTTTTTTCAATCAATTAATGGGTATTTCTAATAATTAAAAAAAATATTTACAAAATGCTATCATTGAATATCATTCCTGTCTATCGGAATGTGAGATAAATGATAAAACAATTCTTTTTTTTTGTTTACTTATCTTATAATTAAATGGCACTAAAAAAGAGATTATTAATTAAAAGTCTTTAGACAACAATTGTAATAACGGTTATGTAATCCTCCTAAAGATTTCTCAAACAAACTCTTGATATCATTAATATTAATAATAATATATATATAATTTGATAATACCTTAAATGTACAGTATATTTATATAATATATATCATAGATTCACTAAAAATGTGCATTAATTAAAAAAAGATAAAAATAAAGGCATAGAAAAAACTTTTTAGGGACAAAAATACTGGTTTTCAATCAAAAACCATTATAAATTAACAAATGATTTATAATACTATTATTAAAGTATATTTTTTAATTACATATACTGTTATAATAATAATTTTTTATATTATAAATTATTATTATATTAGTATTATTCAAACTTTTGATATCAAAAATAAGTTTACAATTGTGTTTGTATTTTTTTGTTATCTTATTTTTTGGTTTGTATTATGTGGTTAATTGTATCTAATAATCTATAATTACAATTAATTAATAATATCACTCATAACACCAATAAATTGTATATAAAAGTTTTGTTAATCAAAATCGTGGTTTTTATATATATCGTTGTGGCGTTCAGTCAACTAAATAGTATGCATTCAATCACAACAATTAGACAATTAATATAATGCATTATTGATGTCTAATAAATAAAAAAAATGATAAAAAATATAAATTAAAAAATCATTTATCGACTAATTTGATAAAAAAAAATAGTCAGAAATGAGTCTTTTTAGGCATTAAATGTTATAAAACATAAACCAATTGTAAATTTGAAATCTAATCATTAAAACATTTGTTTTGAAACAATATTATTGTCAATGAAGTCATTTCGGGACAAACGGGTGTGGAATAGCTACCGATGCCGACGCCGCGTGACTTACGATCATTGCTGTAAATCAATACATCAAATATTTCATTAATATTTCAATTAATTAGTTGAGTAACATATCAGATACAATACAGAAAAGCAGCGAAAGACAACCAAATTATTAACTATTAAAACCCAAAGCAAAAGCAATTTAAATATATTTTTTTTGCTAAAAGTTTTCTATAAGTTATTGTTGTGAAGCCTTAGCAATAGCTGTTTGTCTAATAATAATGGTTTGCCCTAAACTGCTAATTGTGTAACTGATTGTGACTACTATTGTCTGAATACTCGTGAGTCATACCATAATCCTATAAGAAAGATGTGATTGATTTTGTGATTGTTTCCAATTCGGTGCCACTAAAAGGTAATTGAAATTTATTTTAAATGTTTATAACAAGAAGTCCTGAAGATAGGGCTTCACAACAAATAAATCATTTATTATATCATTGAAGCTATTTATGGCAAATACATGCATATAAATAATTTAGTTAAAAAACAAACAATTTTTTAGTAAACATACCACTATATGGATCATATATGGGATACCCAACTCCCACGTGTGTGTGATGATGTGTATGAAGGTGTCGTTGAGGTGGTGGTGACCGTTGTCTATCAGTTGACTTGTCGGCCGACTCCTCTTTGCGATCAGCATTCGACACATCAGACAAGTTCATAGTTTTAGAACCGGGCACTGGTATAGTACCGGGTTTTGGTGGTTTCGATGATGATTGTAAATGAGGACCAGTATTTGAGGCGCCGGTAGGAGATATTAAAGCTCTATCTTGAAGTTCATGTATTTTATGTGACCCAAAATGTGGGACGGGATTTGATGCACTTGAATGCATTTTGGAGACGAGTGGATCATTCGGTGGTGGGTTAATAGGTTGTGGACCCGGCATATCTAACGAACCAATTGGACTGGGAGGTGCTACTGGAGACATATGATAGCGCAGTTGTGGCGGAAGATATGGTCCAGAATAAGGATTTCCCATCATTACTGGGCTCATGGAGTTAGCTCTAAACATGGGATGTGAGGGATCAAATGGTGAGAAGTGTGGCGTTAGATACGATGGATTAAAGTAGTAGCCATTAGCAGTGGGCGGAGGTGGCGGTCCAGTTGTCTCCATAGTCGGCTTTATGCCCTCTTCTTTGAGTTTTGTCTTAATTTTATCGTCCTTTTCATCTTTTTTAAGATTATTGTCTTTATGTTTAGGACTAGAGAGTAATGGAGAACTCGAATGCTTATGACTGGAACTTTTAGATGAGTCAGACTTTGAACGACTGATGCCATCCTTGAGTAGCGGCGGCGGACCGATCACTGCGTTCATGTGTTTCTCTAAATCAGATTTATTGTTCTGGTGTTCAATCAAACTGTCCATAAAATAACGTTTTGATTGGTCTTCACAATGTCGGGGATCAAACATAGGACCGAATGGAGTGGCCGACAAACTACTTGGTTGACCACTCAATCGGTTCTTATTGTTTTGGGCATCCATTTGGGATTTGAGTTCTATATTTTCTTTAAGAATCTGTCGATTTTCACTTTGTTTATCTTTAATATTTGTCGAAATCGGATTTGTGTCAAATGAAACATCACTTTTCGGTGGTTGAGAAGAAGGTCTTATATTTGGACCAATTGATGATTTAGAGGATTGTTTGCTGTGAGAGTCCATTGTTTTATTTAACGGCAAAAATTTCTCTTTGTCTGACTGTTCTTTGAAATGTCTATCTCTCGTTTCCTGTTCCATATATCGTTCACACTGTTCCTTATAAACTGGATCAGTAGCCATTAGATGCATGTGATAGTTAGGATCAATTGGAAATCCTGGATATCTTTGCATATATGACATTGCGTATGGATATCCGGGAGGAAGCGATGCAAAGTCTTGAACATTTTCTGGTGGAGTAGTCGATGGTAAAGATGATGAATCAGATATATTCTTCGCAGTTGATGATGAATCATCAGATCGTTTATCGCTTTGGTCTGAGTTAATACGCGGCCGTTTAGCAGAACCGGCCACTGAGTGTGAAAAGTCAGTTTCGTTGTTTTTATTGCTATCCGATAGACCAGATGCTGATGATCTCTGAGACTCAGTAGAAGGATTGGAAGCACTGACAGGCATTAAATATGATGACTGATTAAAATATGGATAAAGTCTAAAGTTTGGCGAACTTTGACTCGAAATATCAAGATTTGTGTTCTCAACAGTCAGATTGTCTTCAGGTTTATCTATGGTTTCCATCATATCGTTGCTATCATTAGGAATTGTGTCGTTGGCGTCCGATATGTCCGAATAGGCCGGACTTCCAACGTTTTCGATCGATGTCTCGGTTGATCTCAATTTACTATCGTTTGTCACCAACGAGTTATTTGAGTCAAATTTTAAAGATTTTGAATTTGTTGAAGTATTGCTCATTAAATCAACACTAGTGAACACATCTTTAGCTGTTGGTGTGTCTAATGAACCCAATGGCGGGCCATCAGTCACTTCGTTATCACTTTTAGATAACTCAATCGGTTTATGTGTAAACTTCACGTCTGAAATAGAAGTATTACCCGAATTGGATGAGTTATCATTTGATGACTTTTTATCCTTATCTTTATCTCTTTCTCGGTCACGATCTTTATCTTTACTTTTCTTTTTGTGTTTAGATTTCTCTTTCTTTAAGCCCTCACTATTAGAAACATTATTAGAGTCACTCAAATCATTATTAGGTTGCGGTTGACTGATCTTTAAATTGGTATCGTTAATGGGTCCCGGAGTTAATGGTTTGTTTATCGATTTATCTGAACTGTTCTGATCGACATAAGTGGGCTGATTCGAGACTAGGAATGTATTGGCACTGTTTGCTAGTGAGGTAGTGGTCGTATTGCCCGAACTACTTGACGCATTGTTGTCATCACTTTTCATCACATCACTCATTGTTACATCATTTGAATCGTTGGCAACGGATGCCATAGTAGACAAATTGTCATTAGGTTCGGGTGTAATGTCATAATTCATGCGATTAGGACTCGATGGTAGACTCGGCGAATCGAGATTATTATCCTCAGTGTCTGATGCAAGTGTCGTGTCCTTTGTGGAGTTGCCATCAACAGAGTTGCTATTGATTTCGTTATGGCAGTGGGCGTGCGTTTGATGATATTTAAGACCATTAATGTGTTTATATTTTTTGTTACAATTAGGTTCGGGACATTCAATCAGCACAGGTGATGATGGCTGAGCCACGGGAGTGTTGGGTTCACTAGAAGTACTCGGTGTGGGAGTGTTACGAGTTTGAGATCTATTCCTTTTACTTCCCTTATTGTTTAAATTATCATTAACTGGACTTAATTCCAAGTCCGATGGTCTTCCCTTTCGTTTTGAAGTGGATGTCGCGCCACTATCACTCTTAGCAGGACTGGCCGGAACAGTAAATCCAGAGTTTGCTGTTCTTCGACCCTTTCCATTGCGTAGTTTGCTTTGAACAGACCTATTGTCTGTTGACAACTCATTGTTTGAGGCACGAGACCTCTTTCCGCGACTGTTTTTGTTACTTTTGGACTCAATATCACTAGTGGGTGACTCACAAAACCTGGGAGGCGCCCAATCATGTTTAGTACAGTCCAATAACGTTCCCACGTATGTCTTTCCTCTCCAAGTCACGTTCACCACTAACACACCTATTGTTTTATTGAAATCATTATTAATTCATAATTATATAATCAATAATATCTCAACAAAATTACTGCACAAATACATACCTCCTTCAGTTTCCTGCCATACAATGCCTTCAAGTGTAACACTAGTTCCCGGTTCACAGGGACCCAAACAGTCGGGTTCGGTAATAGTGCCGACACTGGTCGATGTACCCATGTCTCGGGTGGCCGATATATTTTCATCGGACTTGAAATAAAAATTATGACATTTAAAGTTAGTATTTTGTGTCATTGAAAATAGACAACTAAAATATATTAAAATAGCTTTAAATCAACTGTTAATTTGGCGAAAAGTTAAAATTGAACTGATTTATTGACTAAATACAGCACAGAGTGCAATTCGCACAGTTAGGTTAGACACATACACATAATATGATAAGTCATTCAACAAAACAACCAAAAATCAACTAAATAAGTAAAAATCATTCATGTGGTCATAATTTATATATTATTTAAATATAAATATATAATTTATATTTATGTAATCAGAATATGTTTATTATATATTCTAAGTATAAGTACTCATAAAATAATTACCATAAGTGTGAGTTAATAGTAAATTATTTAATAAATATTTTATTTAAACAAAACACTTAATAATAATAACATTGGAATTAATAATTATATTTAAAGGATATTAACTATACTGTATTAAATCATTGATCAAAATTTATATATCTTGTAAAAAACGTTAACAATTGTGACTATTATTTAAAACATAACCAGACTATATATTTGAAATCATGCGTTAAACTAACAAATAATATACTTTATGGTTCAAAGTGCACTTTTACTGTATAATACTATAAATCCTATAAGACATATACAAGTATATCTGTTTATATAATATACAGTATAAATATATCAGATTTATTATTTTTTTAAATCAGACAAAATAATTTTGGAGAACAAAGTAAATCATTGAATAATATACTATTTTCGACAATATATCTATTAATGCTTAATCATTATTTATGACTTTATATGTATTGCATTACAAGTTTATGTATATATTAATATTAGATAACTTATTTGTTTACAAATAAAATAAATAAAAATCTAAATATCCATTGACATGTTAATTAACAAAAATATTTGTTTATCAGACTATAAACAATGTCAATACAAATACTTTAAATATTTTTTTTATTAAATATTTAATTTACCATATCATTAAATTAACTAATTGATCATTCAAATAGATAATTATAATAATAACAAAAATATGCTACTGTACATAACTCAATATGTAAATTTGTCAACAACAAAAACTGTATAAATTATCATTAAAAATATTAATAAAAATATTTGAAACTAGGGTGGGGTTAATGGGAAACTTAATCAAAAATCAGTTTTCAAATTCAGCAGTTTTTAAAAATATATAAATAAATAGACATAAAAATCAAAGTTTTCACCGTTAATAACATAATACCGGTAATAATAATAAATAATAATATGATTATTATAAAATAAAACAGTACAAATATTTATACAGATCATTTAATGTGACTAATGCTAAAAATTAAATATTTATGTATCTATGCTTTATTTTATTTATTTTAGTAACAAATATTGTTGGCAATCCTCTTACATGAAAAATATTCATTAAATATTAATTTTTACTACAATTTAGTATTTGAATATTGCTTCAAAATATAGCAATTGTCATAATGTTGTAATACAATGCCATTTATTTCAAGCAAATTATTGCAGTAAAAACAACAAAATTTGTATGGCTTTGTAATACAAATAAGTTTAACAATATTTTAAACAAATAATAATAATAATACAATTGGTAGTTTCATCTATTATTAATGCTTATTGGTGTTTAAATAATGCATAAAAATTATATAAAATAAAAAATATGACATACCTTAACATCGAGTTTCATCTTTTTATGAGGTGATGGCATATTTTTTGCCAATTCGTCCGTTCTTAAGATCACAGTTGGGTTCAGTGAAGCCGATGAATACTTCAACGTTAATGTGTTTGATGACATACCAGATGATGTCGAAGATGACAACGACGATGGGTTTACACGTGAGATCTGTGTACTTGAATTGAAATTAGAGCTCATAGTGGATATACTATGAGAAGTGGTTTGGTTTGATGCGGTCGGACAGTCAGTCTTAGTACTGACTCCTAGTGATCCGTTCACTTCACTTGGTTTAGTGGCAGATAATTTAGATGACAATAATGTCGATGAATTGCATTTGTTTGTTGCAGACGTTGAACCACTACTAGTGATGTTGTTATTAATACTGTTAGCACTATTTGCTGAACCACTACTTGGCTTATCCTTGTCTTTGTCTCTTTCCTTATCTCTATCTTTATCTCTATTCTTATCCTTTTTGTCTTTATGACTACTTTTGCCTTTATTTGAATGTTTACTTGACTTAGAGTCTGTATAAAACAAATAAATAATGTTATCATAAATGTTAGATAATTTGTTTGCTAAAGACATACCCTGATTGTGGTCAGCAGTGGAACCAATGTTTGAATTGACTGAAGCAGTCCCAGAGTTGCTATCTCTTGACAAGACATACTTCGTAGAGCTTATATCTGAGGATACGATCTCGTGTTTAGTTTCACAAGACTTTCCGCCGATATTTTTACGTTTAATCTTCATTTTAAGTCCTTTGTCAACAATGGCTGAATGCTCGACACTGGGAGCTACCGATGGTGTTGACGATAAGGAACCAGTAGTGGATGTCGAAGATGAAGATGAGTTTGATGAACCACTAGAGTGGTGATGATGATGATGGTGGTGATGGTGATGACCATGAGGTTGCAATGATGCTGATGAAGACATATTACCCGAGCTAATGGGACTGGTATTTGCCAAACCAGTGCGCGATTTAGAGTTAGTTGACATGGCTTTAGTGGCACTGTTTATGTTTCCGGCGCTCAATTTGCTTACCTCTAAACCACTTTTATTATTAATGAAATGATCGGTTAATCCGCTTACAGAAGAATCACAATTCTTTGTTTGCAATGTCTTAGTATTTGCTACACTTTGACCACTTTTATCATTGGTTTGTCGTTCAATGTCTGCATCCAAATCAATAATGAGATCTCCGATTCCGAGTTCCCATTCGTTGTAATCGTCGTCAAAATTAGTGGCGATTGGATTGCATGAAGAAGAAGAACTGCTTTTGCTATCACCTGAAAGTGCAGTACCCTTCAGACTATTGTTTCTGACAGTATTTGCTTTGTTTATGGGATCTATTTTTGGCGAAAGCGTGGCTTTGTTTGCTTTGGAAGGACAAGGGTTTGCAGTGATTAATGCAGTTGTGGTAACTGTCGATGATGTCGATGACGGTGTTGTGATATGCAATGAATGATTGGTATTGTTGTTGCTGATGATGACCGCGGGATGCGATGATTGCGGTATTGTTGTTGTTGTTGTGTCACAGTCTTTATTAAGTGAGCACTTGTTGGCATCTATAGCCACCCGTAATCGGTGGCCATCCTTACCGGTGCTCTCTTTCATTGATCTTCGTTGTGGTCGTCCATCAATTGGAGACCACTTGAAGACAACATTTGTCTATATCGACAACACATACACCACAATACAGACGACGTGTTTTCAGTGATAATAAATTAGCAAAAAATTTTTGGTTGACTTATGACTTGTTGTTAATCACAGTACAAAACATCACTAATATTATTGGTTTAATTGACTCAACACTTATGCAACCATTGATTGCATTCAAACAAATCAAATCAAAACACAAAAACAAAACTCAATTAGTGTTGCATTCGATTGCATTCCAAATGCTAATCAATGTTTTGTATAGTAATAGTGTTCACAATGTTGTAGTAATAATGCAGACATTGTTATAATGTATTAGAAATAATACAAACCATTGATTTAGACTAACAATTGAGTTGTCATCTGATAGTCAGTTACTGAGTGTGTGTCACAAACACACTGTAAATGGCGTTAAATATTGCAAACAAAGAGAGAGAACACCACTGCAAACAACACACATACTAACCAATACTCATAAATACAACAACAAATCAAACTCAAACTCCGCCCATCACTTCATTGAGTACTAACAGTTCATTCACAGCAAACACTATACGAAGCAATAGGTTTTCGTTTGTCAAACAAATTGTGATTCACACGACTGTATTGGGTGTGGTTTACAACACATAGCCTTTCAACAGACAAAAAGTTATCATTCATTCATACATTACGTTAATAAGTCTTATAGTTATTGACTTTACATTCATTTTTATCTAACATTTATTAATTAATAATTACAGCAAATATGGACTAAAAATTTTGATATATATTTTTGTCAATTAATTTATGTTTAATTTTCGTGTCTTTAAGTTATTTAAACATTTTAGCCATCGATTAGTTTCTTGATTACATACACACACTCTCTGTCTCATTGTGTTTATCATTGGCTTCAATACAGTGTATTGAAAAAGTTATCAATTAGAGTGATCAATGTCACATTTTTGTAGACCTGTATATATTGTTTTTTAGTTAATATATTGAAATTTGTTATATATTTTAATTATACAGTAGTCATAAAATATATATATGCTAATGATTTACATGTATTTAACTATAGATGATTTAATTAATGATTTAATATTGTAATACAATATTATATTAGTATACTTATAGACGACACCTGTATTATTGGTTACTCTAATAGTTACAGCATTTATAATACCATTTGTGTTCTATTTTATTGTTATATTCAACCAATAGATGTCAATATCAAGTGATAACACGTGTGTCGACAACACATGTATTAAATATCCTAAGCATTGAAATACTAGTTAAACGTCTATTAAATTTGTGGATCAAATTGGTTTGTGATATTGATTAACAACAACAACAACAACAACAACAACAATGGCAAAGAGCTTAAGAAGCAAATGGAAACGTAAGATGAGATCAGTTAAGAGAGTAAAATATGGAGAGAAAGAGTTAAAGAAATTGTTGTCAATCGTTGAGATAAGCAAACAAAAAGAGATTGCAAGAGGTTTGTGTCAATTTTATTGTCAATAATCTGATCCATWCATTGGATTTTATTTATTCATTTGTTTGTCTACAGAGAGTGCCAAAGACGTTGAAATGAAACCAATTGGTAGTAACAAACAAACAGCGGAAGAGACTGAATCGGAACCAATGACAACAAATATCTTGGAAAGAGAAGCGTCCAGAAGTAAGAAGACATTGCGCGACCAATTTGGACAATACCCGCAGTGGATGAACAAACGCGAGATTAAGAAACGACAAAAAAGTGGTAAATTGAGACTTAAGAATAAGCGAAAGTAATGTTAATTATGTTATAGTTTTGTATATTATATATGATTTTATAATTTTTTTTGACGAGTAATTAGAGACGGAGTTAATTAAACCTTTTATTATTAAAAATAATATGAATATAAAAAATATTAACTCATATGCTATACAATAATTAATAGCAGTTTCTAAATGTAAACACATTAAATAAATTATTGCTATAAATTTGTAAATTAATTTTAATCAAGTTATTTAATTTACTATTTATCAATAATATGATATATTATTTATCAAATTATTTAAATAAATTGAATAAAATATAATTATACACTATCTATCATTTAATGTTTATTGAAAATAATTGACAAACCGGTTGGCATATATATAGTATATATTTTGTTGAATATATTCATCAAATTGATAAAAAAAATATAGTTGTCATAAATTTTTGCATAAAATTTAGTTATTTGTTTATGTCAATGTTAAGATATAAATTAGGATATTTATTTTGCTAACTACGCTAAAGTTATAGATTGCATATCATTGTAAACTTGCACACATCGACAATCAATTTGTTTTTTATAAGCTAAAACATAACTAATTAGATTATAATTTAATTGGATAATCAATTTTTATTTAATACATATTAAATATTTAATTTATTGTGTGTTTAATTATCGAATATTATCGGTAAATAATTTATTTTATGACAAAAATATATGTGCTTTTATTACAATATTTGTATATTTAATTTTAAATGACTCGCATTTAAATAACGGAACAGTTTTGAATTCACCATTAAATTTATGACTTTTTTAATCTATAATAATACACATAATTATATTAATATATATATTTATATATTTACAATTTAATAACATTTGTACCAAAAAAAAACTATACAAAAAATAACAAAATTAAAATGAATTTTTAAAAAATTAAAAACGAGTTATTAATAATTAAATGGTTTATATAAAGATCACACAAGAGTTGATAATTCAATGTTTGGTATAAAACCAGAATCTCTTAAATTAATTAAACGACTTTCCGATAATTCTTGACTCGCTTTTGTCTTTTCCCACTAAATTGATTAATTTAATTGGATAAACAAAAAAATGGTTATTAAAAATAATATTATTTATTATATGTGTGTATATTTAACATACCTGCCAGAGATAAACATTTTGTACGGATGCTATGCCACAGAAAACAATGGCTAATCCGATGATAACACTAGTGGCCAGAGCTGGCACTTCATCAAAGTTGACAAATGTAAACAATATAACCCCTAATGTGTTAAAAAAAATAGTGAGAGAAAGATAACAATTATTTTATTTAAAGATAATATTTATTTTGTTAGTCATTTCCTATTTTTTTAAAGAAAAAATTAAGGAAATTAAGAAAATAAAAATTGGTTAAAATATTTTCATAACATATACTGTAGATATTACTTATAGCTGTCACTCAAAATAATATTTAAAGTTAGAGAGTATTAACATATTTTTTTTGCTTACAAACGATAATTAAAATATTTTGTGGAAATATCCCAAAAAATATCTTAAAAGATACTTATATTTTCAAAATAGGGTTAAACAATTTGAATGACTATTATGACATTTTTATTATTATTATTATTATTATTATTACCGGTAAAAAATATGGGGATTGAGATGAGGAAAGCGCCGACAGCCGCCACTCTTATATGAGATGTCTTCTTCAAGAACTCATAAGTTCTGCAAAAAAACAATAATAATAATACAATTTACTAATTATATAAATAGATTTCAAAATAAATAAACAAACAAATCATATATAATTGACTAATAATACTATTAGTTAACAACAACTACATAATGTAGATGTCAAACCAAAACTTTATAATATTTTCTAAGATTTTTTTAAATACTAAATTATAAGTTATTTTTTTAAAAAAAATAAATGTTATGTTTATATCGTTTATACCTCTTGTGTCCAAATGGTGTCTTCATGAGCTTAACGGCAGACAAAAATTGTATACACGAAACAAATAGACAGCAGAGGTCTAGAGAGATGGTTAATGTGCTCAATGAGACTGATATTTGAAACACACGAACATATTCTTTAGTATTGCTAACGAATCGTTGGCTCAAAAGTTTGTGAGCTTTTGAAACATTTTCTGCACTTTCATTGCTGTCCGTCAGTGAACTTAAGGGACACGACTTTTGCAAGAAGAAGAGCGCCAAAAATGCCATCAATAGTGATAAAAGACACATCAGTGCCAATGAGGCTAATACTTCGTGCAAACCGTGACCACTGATTGTCGAATCACTGTTTGAGTTATCATTAGAGTTAGCACTGGCTTTCGGTGAGTGCGGTCCCAATCGGGAACCGTTTAGTATAGGACTAGTTGGATAACCGTTGGCTGTTCGCGATATGTCGAGCAGTGGTTGCTTTGAGGTAGACGTCACAGTAATATTATTGGCATCTTTGGACATATTTGGCGATATCTTTCTCGGAGATATACCACCATTTGGTCTGCCATTTGAATAAACTATAGAGTTGTTGTTGACTGTATGACGTCCCGATGATATGTTTCCATTCATTACATGTCCATTAAGCAGCACCGATGAGTACTGGCGCTGATGGTGGTTGACAGGAGATGTATGTATATGTGTTGTCGTCGTCGCACCAGTGGGTGAGACTGTGGGTGAGACAGTGCCCACTCTCTCGTAATTATACGGAGACGCGTGTGGCGTCTGGCTGTGTATAGTATGGCTATTTGCTGGCATTTGGCGTTAAAATAGGCGATCCTCTCTTCTTCGATATATATTTTTTGGTGCAAAACACACAAATTAGTTATTTTTTAATGATTGAATTGTATTGAAAAACAATACCAATATCACACAACTGAATAATAAATTCATTGCACACCACAATATTAAGTAAAATGTGATTATAATAGTTGAGCAAAAAAAACAGTTGTCTGTAATTTACATTTTGGAAAACTTCTTTTAGCACATCTCACTGATTTGGGAGGGGAACTGTAGGTACATTCACGAACCAGGAGTGTTGTCTTTAATACGATATATTTCGCACTGTATGTTAGCCTCTGGAAGGCCCTAATAATAATAATAATAATAAAAAGTTTTTCAATTTTAACGATTTAGAAAAAATAAATAAATAAATGATATTTAATTATAGAGCAATATATACTGTATATAATATAATGATTGAAAAATATTTGCCAAAAAAACTCTTAATTTACTTCAATCTGATTGAGTCATACACTCAATCATTTTAAAAAACCCCTAAAAAATTAAGCACAAAATGATTGTTTGCTTAAATGGACGATAATTTTTTTTTAAAGCCAACTTAACGCCCACTTTTTGAATTTGATAGCTTTAAAAAAAATTATTTCATTTTACTTTAGATTTTTTAGTCTGATTTTAAATTATTCAATTGAAACGAAAATGTCTTTTTCAAGCAATAAAATCATGTTTTTTTTAAATTTCTAACACAATATTATATAACAGTAAATATCTGCAAAAATACTCCCCAATTATAGCAAACATAACAACGCAATGAATATATACAAGTATTTAAATAAATTATTACTTTTATTATTATTATTATTTGAAAATCTATAGATAGTATTAAATATTATGCAATCTAACTATAAATTATGGTGTATGACACTGTTTTAGTTTTTTTTGCATTTCATATAATAATAATAATAATAAACATTTAATGATGATTTCAGTGTACAATCGATCAATAATTAGTCTACTTTTTTTAAAAAGTTATTTTAATCTACTTCTACACTATTAATACACACTACACGACATACACCGGTACTTAAAAAACAATTTTCACAAAATCTAAACTCAATTATTTCATTATTATGTAATGTTAAAAAATATATTAATAGTAATAATCTTATTTATTCTCTGTGTATAATTTATATTTTATTGTCATAACCTAAAAAAAGATTTTTGATATAAATATAAATTTTTACAAAATTTAAATTCAAAATATTATTATTCATATTTTTTTTAAATATATTTTTTAATAAGATTTATTTAGATAATAATAATCTTTTAAAACATAAAAATTATCATAATTTATTAACGAATTTTTTTTAGATATGACAAAATTATTCTATAAATAACTAACAAATTATAATTTTAAATTATTAATTTGTTTTTGTATTCAAGTATTTTGAATTATTACATAGAAATTATAATATCAATTCTCATTAATTTATTAAATTTCCAATTATTGAATATTATACACTGTATAATATACAGTACTATGTTTTATATGCTATTACAAGTAAATGATATTATAATAAAAATTCAAACACAGACACACACAGACACACAATTAGCTTAAAGCTATTCAATACTTTAAATACCTAAAAAAAGAAGATTAATATTATTGGAAAGTTATCAATAATTAAAGTGTTTCGCAGAAGCAATGGATCCCATATTACAGTGGATCCCATTCCCAAAGGATCGTTGACTTAACCAATGGATGCGATTTTTATCCGAAAATTTATTTTAAAAAACTAATACTTTCTTATCTAAAAATGCAGTCTAAGTTAGAGATGGTTAGTTAATATGAATTTATTTGGTTTCAAACAATTATATACACACATACAGTCTTTTATATGTGATTATTTTACTGAAATTATAGTTATGTTCATCAAAAAAAGGTCTCAACAAAACAAACTCATAGCGAATACATAATCATATTTTTAAAGTGAAAACTTGAATTTTATTTTTTATTTTTTTGATAATCTAAGTGGTATTTACTTTTATTATTAAAAATGCTAACTATATARTATAAGTTTGWTTTTTTTAATAATTTTATTAGTTTATTAATATTAGGGCGGGATTTTAATACCTGTTTTAATCCATTGAAAACTCTTTTTTTTCTGATATAATCAAGTGACCAAAAATTTATCGATTAATCTTAACAATGTTACGGTATATATAATAATATTCATATTTAATATATTTTGTTTCATAACATACATACATATTATATTAAAAATTTTGATTAATAAAACTAATAATAATAATAATACAGCACTTAATTAGTGTTTGCATTGTGTTTGCAATGAATGATTAATTGGGGGCACGGGTTTAGAGAGTGTTATTAGAGAGGGATCGGGAATTAAGGAAGTGATACACTAGAAAAAATTATTTGATTTGATTATAACATATTTTTTATATATATATCATATATGTATGAAACTCATGATTTAAATTTTATTGAATTTAAAGTGAATCTCCAGTTATAGGACTACTACTACTGATAACTTGTTTGCCTTACAGTTTGGGTTGAGGTCAACGGCTCAACCATTGGAATGTTTAGTCATTTTTACCCAATATTACATAAAAAATAAATTTTAAAACACTATAAACACTAAAAACTAAACACAAACACACAGAGAGATATTGAGAGAGACAGTCAAATGATAGGCACAATCGCCCCAATAGTACACTGTTTTTTGATGGCATTGACTAACAATCATATATTTTGCAAAATACATAATCATAAAGCGGTTTGTATTTTCCAACAAACAAATAGTCATAAAAATAATAAGTGATCAATAATTTTGTGCTTAAAAAGTAAACTGATCTCAACTTACCACAGATGCTGATACTCGACGAATGAAATGTCGCTTTTAAAAGGTTTCCTTCACTCTCTAAGAAATGTTTTACAAATTAAATAAATATTTGTCACTTTAAAACTTTTTTTTTAAATTAAAACTATTTTATTATTACTTTTTTGAAAACTATTTTATTATTTGTTATCTTTTCGAGAAAAGACAAGACATATACACAACACACACACACAAAACAAATACAAATTAAACGGAATATAATGAGCAAAATATTTCAATGAATATTACTTATAAAATATTATATTATAAAAAAAATTGGCACAACTATTGGCATCAAATTTTTAATTTCATATAATAATATATATATATATATATTGAAAGTTTTGAAAAGCTCTACAATTTTGTTGTTGAGTTGAACTTTAAAAAAATATTATATATATACAGTATATGTATGTTTTTTCTGAACTGAGAAATGGGACGAATTGTTGTTTAGATAAATGGGTTAACACTTTATGATTATTATTATTATTGTTGAGGCGTTTATATAATATTAACTTTTGTGAGAAAATCAATGGAAGAAAAAACTTTCGATAAGAGAGTGACTGAAGTGTAATGTTTGATGTAATTAACAAAAAAAAAATTAAATAAATAAATAAATAAAAATAATGTTTTGATTTGGAAATAAAAGTTCTTTGAAAAAAAAACTTTTATTAAAACTAAAGTCCAGAATAACCACAAAATTTTTTTGAATGACTTGTTGTTCAAGAAGTTAGCAAATGGATTGTTAGTTGCATTTCAAACGGAACAACCATTTGGATGTCTGTATGTGTGTCTCTCTCTCACTCACACAACGTATTTGTGTTTCCGTTGACATAACAGAGCGTCGATCGTGGGATCAGCCATACAGTGATAAAACTGGCTTCACTTCACCTGGCATTGCATTGCATGCCTGTGCAAAACACACATTTATACTATATATATATATATATATATATATATATACCCAACACTGTGCAGACCTCAGACCTTGTGTTGAGCCCAACTCCCATCCATACATACGGTATTATATACTGTATACTAACTTTTCCCAACTTTTCTCTCATTCTCCACTCTCTATCCCCTCTCTTGAAACTCCTGTCTCTCCCTTTCCTATCTATTTGACAGATGTCTCACATTATTAGCACTGAAAGTAATGGACTAATAGAGTGGAGTGAAAGAGACTTTCAGAGGGAAAGGGAGAGAAATTTTTTGAATTTTACAATAATTCACTATTTTTTTAAGTCAATCCACCAAATGTTTAGGCAATCATATAAGCAATTATAAGATATTTTTATTGTTATTATTTGTACATAAATGGATCGTTAATATTATTTTTATAAAAATTATTTCAGTAAAAAATATGGTACAAAATGTTGTCCTAATTATTATATGTAACTTATAAATCAAATTTTTTTTTTAGTTAATGTGCTCTCGGAATATAAGCATATGCATCACATATTTAAATATATCATATATATCATAAATTTTTTTTGTTAATAAAGTGTCTAAAAATAGTTTTAAAAAACATTAGTCAAAAAGTTTTGACTTAAAACATACAGATCAACGACAACATTATTACCATTCATTCATATATTTATATATTTTCAAAAAATTATTTTTCATAATTTTACATTTAGAAAACTTTTTATTTGTTAAAAAATTAAATAAATAAATAAATAAAATAACTTTAATATATATTTACAATAATAATTTCTTGTAGACATCTATTTAAATCAAATGATTGATCACTCAATAATAAAATGAGATATTTGTATAAATATATATAAAAATTGACATTAAATAAACAGTTTTTGAGCATAATTTATATCAAATCGTTGAGCGCTCCATATGTGTGAGATATACTGTTTAAATGTGAAATAAACCGAAAAAATACGGTATCTTTTTGAAAGGCCGTTCCCTTTTATATACAGCATAACGACTTACAGTCAAATAAACTTCTCATAATAAATAAGTGTCGGAATACTCGTGTGAATATAATTATGGGAAATATTGAAATCTTTTTGATACATTTTTTTAGATAAATATTGTTATGTAATACAATTTGTGACAAATTGTACTACAAATATCATGAAATAATAAGTAAAATATATTTATTTGAAATTCAAGATTTTAATGATTGAGAAAATTTTTTATTTAATATATTTTTTTTAAAAAAATCATATGACTAAATTTAAAGTAAAAACAAAACAAAAAATTTTCGTAAAATTTGTACAATATATATATATTATATTAGACATTAATAAAATGCATTTTAAAAAATATCATTAATTTATGAATTTAAAATATAAAAATTGTGAACAAATTTTTAAATTATAAATTAAAAAGCTATCGGTAAACAAAAATAGTAAAGAATTTATTGTTAATAATCTCGTATATTATTTAGAGTGCAATTAATTTATTTGTAATCCAATTATATATAATCAATAAATCTTTAGATTATTAGAATATAGATGAGGTAATTAATTTTGATCCACCAATTGATTTAGTGATCATTACAATTGAGCCATTTTTTAGCTTTAATTAGACTTTACTTTTGATCGATTCGGATAAAGTACTTTCACTCTTTGTCTATACATGTGAGACATCATAAAATAAAGGACTGTAAATAAATAAATAAAAAATTTAAATATAAATAAATAATAATTTTTGTTTAATAAATTTACTAAATTATGGAAAATACTGACCCGGAAAAAATCCAATTAACAAATATATGCGAATAATTGTTGGAAAATTAAATGAAAAGTTCAACATATTTGGTAACTCTATTGCAAACCGTCGACTTTCTTCAAACAATGCAATGTTTTCAAACAAAATGACTCCTAAATTATAATAAATTAAAAAAATATATAATTCATAATTAAAACTCAATTAAAAAAAATATTATTAATTTATTTGTCACAAACCTTCGCACACAAATCCTAACGGATAGTTCACAACCCAAGCAGTGTATCGCATCCACGTAATGAACCATATATTCACTTTAAATACGTGAAGCATATAATATAAATATCTAATAAATAGAAGAAAATTTGATAATTTTTAAAACTATAAGTATAGATAATATTAGATTTATTATTATTATTATTATTATTTAATTAATATACCGAAGAATTTCAATAGCAGAGTAACTAATAAATAAATACGAAACCCAGGGATTTGTCTGGATTTTGGGTTCGGAACCAATCATAATAAATATGATAAGCGCTCGACCACTGAGTTGAATAAATGGCATAACAGGACTTCCAACAGTATATCCCATCAGCGGATGTATGACTTCAAGAATTTGCATTAAATGCAAAAATTTGATCGCTTTTCCCACCAATTGATATGTGTATTCAAATGAATCTGAAAAATATAATGTTTTTAATATAATTTTAAATAAACATTTACCGTAAATAAGTCATTGAACTGACGGATGCCGTCTTTGCAAAAACGGATTGCAATTATAAGAAATACGTAGAGAAAGCCAACAAATTGAAGCAAATTGTATAGAAATAAATAGCTTTTCTTGAAGTCTTCAACTAAATAAATAATTCATTTCAGTAACTATTTGATGACTAAAAAATCAAAATAAATTAAATTATAAAAAACCTTTAAATCCTTTATTCATTGACTTTTTTCGTCGTCCGAAATCCTTTTGTCCAAAATTTCTGTACGAGTTTTGTTGATTGGGAATCAACTCATCCAACTCGTGACCCATTAGACTGCCGTCGTCCTCAGCATCCGATTCCTCTTCGGGTTGAATCCGATCGAAGTCTACTTTAATCCATTGCGGTCTCACTACCGAAGCTAAGAGTCGCGGCCACAATAAGTTGTCCTTCTTTTTGATGACAAACTCGATGTGTCTGTCATTTAATTTGTAAAAACTATCCTAAAATCGGTGATAAAACAACCACATTATCATCACATCAAGATATCATTGAACAACAGCTCATCCCTTACCGATGGATTGACTTCGGCAAAGAAGTCTATATTAAATGAGTATTCATTAAAACCTTTGGCACCGATACCTGATCCCTGAAATTCAAGTGATGTGTGTTTTAAATCAATCGTTGGACTCTATAGACAGAAGATAACAAATTATATATTTTTAAAAAATTTTATTAAATTAAATATAATTTTTGTTAACAAAAAATAATATTCAACTCAAACCTTGACATTCTTGAGATCAACTCTTAGGGTAATCTTATCACTGCTTTGTCCCCAATAGACAAATGGACTCAAACTCTTGTCATTAGACGACGGATCCATTTAATCAAATAATTAATACATTGAACTGATTGTATGATTTGATAATAAAATCAATCAATTGATTGATTACTTCATACAAATCCGTTATAATATCACTTGAAATGTAAACAACACTTAAATTAATAACGTCTTCTTCATTCACATGTCTTTAATGATATTATTATACAGTATTAATACATATGTAGTTAAAATCACTTTTATTAGATCCCAATACCGTATTACACAATAATAGATACATTGGTATCTAACTGTCCATCACATGATAGGTCAGTGTTGGGGGTAATAGTTGTTAACACTTTTCCTATTAAAACATTTGATTCACGTTTTATTTAATAGACTATTATTTTTATACTGTATTTAATAATCAATGCAATAGTTGTGTCAATATATTCCATGACATGAATAAAAACAGTAGAGTTTGGGATCACTACTACTATTTGCTATCAAATATACAGTCAATTGTTGGCCAAATCAGTGATGTAATGCTATTATGCAATCAATTGCTGTTTGGGGTTCACATTGTATGATATATTTGTCATGTTATTTGTTAACAACTTTAAGCTATAATAATACTGTAGAGTAATATAAGCAGGGTTTTAAGAAAATAAATGCCTGCCCTGGCAATGCCCAAATAGATGCCATAAATGCCTGGCATTTTGGGCATCTATTTTATTTGCCTGCCAATTTAAATTGCTAAAAAGCAACTGTATTTATAAAAATAATGTAGTTTAGTGTTTTAGCGTGTTAATTAAATTTACAATTAATTTATTTATTTCCAATGATATTACCTTTTAATTAAAGGTATACAAAACAAAAATACAAACAAATATATTATAAAAACAATGTTTTATAAATAAATTAATAATATAAAATTAAAATAATAGGTGTCACCACCTGAAAATAGATGCCCAGGGCATGGCAGAGGCAGGGCAGGCATTTGGCAAAATTGGCATCTATTGTTTATGCCTGCCATTTTTAAAACCCTGAATATAAGAAACCAATGGTTAATATTACTTTACCATCGATGAGATCATTGTATTAACACGTTTTAGTTGTTAGTCCTATTAATAGATAATCAAACAGTTAGTTAGTATTACTTATGAAATCAATTATCACTCGTGTGTTGTCAACGGATGAGATGACCATAGATTTGTCGTTGAAATGTCTTTATTAACATCAAATCAAATAACCCTTAAGTAAGTTACTTATTATAATTGATTAACAATTTACAGAACTATTAATTGGTTACAATTGATCCATTGATTGACAACACATAGAGTTAGTTCAGTGCTTAACAAAGATGTCAAACAATTTGGAAAACAGTTTCTCTTGGATGGCAAAGAGGACACCTGTTGGAACTCGGATCAGGTGATAGTCGTTTGAAATGCTATTTATTTATTAATAATTGTTATTTATTGTCATTTATCATCTTCAGGGAAGTGTCCAATGGATTGATTGTCTACTCGATCGCGAGTGTCGATTAAGAAGTATATCCATTGAATTTCAGGGCGGATTTGCTGCCAAACAAATGACATTCGAGTTTAGCGATTCCGGCGACCAATTGTTGACCCGATGTGTCAAATACGGCAAAGACTGCAATGATTTACAAACATTTGATGATTTGCCCGATTGTCGCGTCAAATGTCTTAGGATTGTATTCAACGAGTTCTACGATCTCTTCGGACGTATTGTTATATATAGACTGAAGTTATTGGCCGACGAATAATGGGATTAAAAGTTACTAAAAAAGTTTTATCAATAAAATTAATATCAATTTATTGATAACTAATGTATTTAATAATTTATTTTTATATGACATTTAAATTATCTCAAGTGATGACAGTTGTGTATAACAATAATAATTATTGTTATATTTAGTGATCACGTGATTCACACAATGTTTACATTTTAGTTATATTTGTTATGAAATAATGAAAACAAATTAATTGTAATTACAATTAACTAATAATTGTCTAAAATAAGTAATAATTATATTACTTATACATTAAATTAATCATTGGATCAACTGATTGGTCCATTTAATTGTCAAAAAGTTTATTAATGCATTTCATATAAAACTGTACTGTATTTCATATAAAAATTGATAATTAAATTACACTATATTTATATTTTTGTTAATAAAATGCATAAATTAATATCAAATGTAATGATTGTAAGCAAACATCAGATGTTTTCAAATCACATAACAAGACATTCAATGCATTTTCAATCATTGGTTTCATCACTAAATAAACAACAGTTTATTGAAGACTTGATGGATGAGGACAGAGGTTAGGGTTTTGTAATAATGTTTTAGTAATTTATTTAACTTTTATTTATTATCTATTTTCTTATCAGAAATCAGAGATGAAAACGATATCTCATTATTGAATACTAAATACTTTACAGAAAAAACTTGCGATTTATTAAACTTGAAATATAGTCGTGAAGTCAATACATCTATGTTTACAACAAATACTAGTTTAGGTATTATTAATCAATTAATCATTATTTAACTGTTTTAACGCATTTAATAACATTTAATATATGAATATAAAATTACAAAATAAGTTTTAATGCATTATATTTTTGTTTTGTTACTATTAGATGAATTGCCTCATTATATTGTCAGTCATGACATTAATTTTGATTCAAAGACATTAAGATCTCTTTTAACGAGAACTGACATTAAAGATGTTGAGACAGTATTTTATGAACTATTGATGATATTAAAGAAACCACACAAACAAAACAAAGTGACATCTTTTATGTTCCCAATGATTGCTAAGTGTTTGAGTGGATATGTAGTCGGACAACAAAAAGACATTCCGATTACGGTTTGGACACAAAACGGGGTAATTGATAGCTATTTGTTTTAATTTTAGTTATTATAGTATTTTTTGCATTTAATCACTTATTAGCCGCATATTATTGGCAACCGACCCGACTATTCGCTGATTAAGAGAAACAAAGTCCTATTAAATATTAAATTAAAAAGTGTAGACAAAACTGAATCAATGGATAATTCAAAATTGCAATTATTTTGTCAATGCATTGGATCCGCACAACACAATTGGCGCCAAATTAATGACAAATTATTATTTAATAAACTTTTTGGCACTCAATTAGGACTTCTTGTCATTTCAAACACTTTTCATTTTTTTGTTCTTCAGATTACCGATCAATACATTGAAGAGTTGACAACTGGTCCGACACTCAGTCAACAGGTTTTATATAAAATATATTTTATTATTGAAAATAATTAATAATTAATAATTAATTTTTATTTTAGATTTCTTATAATTGTTATGACAATAATGGACACGGATTTGACTTTTTTCTATATAAAGACAGAATGAAAGTGTTGTCGGCGTTGTCTGCCATTCAATCACATCATCGAAACTGTTCTCTCACTACAAATCACTAACTATTCCGACAATTAGTCTTCGAGACAATTTCGAGTCAAAACATGTTTTCTCCCATTTATTCTCCCGATTGGCGAAACACTTGGTTATCGAGTCGTATCACACATTTGAGTCCCATTTGTTCAATGAATCCAAATGTCGTTGATTTGGATTTCTCTCACGATCTCAAAGAGTGTGATCTTAACGACCAACCGATGGTCAGTCAAAGTGAAGACTCCTTTTCCAATATGACGTGTGATATGTTATCAATTGAATCTCATGTCTTTACCGGAGATGAATCACCCAATCAGTGTCCACAACAACAACAACAACGTAATGATAATTATAAGAATAATGTTTTGAATCAATTGAATGGTTGTCAACCAAATCAAAGGTTTCAAACATATTTTACCAAAACATCGACGCCGTCACAGAAATTGTGACAATTGTTTTGTCATTATTTTAATTAATTATTTCTATTATTACTAAATATTTATATTTTTAACACAGATTTTATTTTCTAAAAAATATTATTTTATATTCATAATTAATTTGATGTTTTACTACTGTATAGTATTATACTGAACAGACTCAACATATATTATATTATATTTATTTATTTATTTATTTATTTTAAAAGTATTTTTTTATTGTATTGACTAAAGGAATATAAATTTAATGCCATTTAAAAAAAATACATTTGATTTTTAAAAAGTGTTTAACATATTATTATTTGAAATTAAGATAGAAATTTAATTTAATTATTAAATTTAGAATAATTAAAATTATTTTTATATTTTTTCTTTAGTAAGTATTATTGACATATCATAAGTACAATATAGTACTATATAAGTACTAAATGATTTTTTTTATTAAAAACAAATACATATTATTATAATAATTATTGTCGATTAAATTAATAGTAAAAATTAGAAAATAGATTTAAAATTAGTAAAATTAAAAAATATATTTTTAAAAATAAATATTTCATTTGATTTCTAAAGCTTAATATAATATTATTTATTATGAATTGAATTTGTGGTCACATATAGTGACATCATATGTATGTACTGTATGTAATACTATGTATAATATGTACGTCACGTGTGTTGGCATTTAAATTGATTTTATGTTATCATATGTTTGTGGGAACCGATTGATTGACTGTTTATTAGTTTAAATTGATTTGTTTTCGCAACTAAAATGTATGGATACGAGTGTTTGGACACACATAAGGACAGGGATGAGAAACACATGCGATGCCTGTCTTACTTGATATCGCACTACAAATGGATTATCGATGTCTATAATGTGGTAAATAATGTATTTTTTGTCTCAAAATATTTACTTGAATTAAATGATTTATAAATTAACCGATGATTTTTCAATATAACTATATTGTTGTACAATATTAGGCCAAATTATTAACAAATAAAATTGACATAAATGCTACTGTATATCATAGGAATTGAGCATGATCATTTTTATTATTTTTAAATTTAATTAATAGTTACATATTTATGTTAATTATTTTTATATGATATACATATTATAAATAAATTTATTGTAAATTAGGATTACTTTGTGGCAAATCATTGGTCAAAAGTACCGAAACAGTGGACACAATGTTTTGAAAAGTTTGATTTGAAAGACTTGTCAAACTTCTTGACAAAGGGTTCGCCAATGAATTGTGTTTTACCATTGAATCTGTTGTCACTTCGGGCCACTTGTTTTGCACTGCAATTGTCTCGTCAGACAAATGACAACATTGACAGTGATTTTTGTGAATCACTTAAAATATCGCCAAATAGTTGCCGAACATTGGATTCATTGGTCAACGACTCGAAACATCCGAAGATGAAGCGGGAAATACTTAATCGCAAAATCAAAGAGAAAAAGAGACATGAAATTCAACGTTTGTCAACAATTACAGATCAATTACTGAAAAGCTTAGATAATTGTCGGACAATAGTCGACTGTGGCTCAGGTCAGGGACATCTGTCGCGGATAATGAGTCTGTGCTATGGTTACGATGTGATCAGCATTGAGGGCAACGATGATAATGTGTTGGGCGCCCAAAACAAAGATCTCAAAATGTTGAACAGTCTCAAGAAGTATAAACTGATGGACAATATTCATACGGATTGTCCAAAACAAGTGAATTGTGTTTTGCAAAATAATTCATCCATCAGTGAATTGACAGAATTAGCTGATAATCACCTGTTATTAGGTCTACACGCTTGCGGWCCACTTTCGGCGATAATATTGAAACAATTGCGAGAATGTCAATCAGCCAAAGGATTGATTTTAGTCAGTTGTTGTTATTTTAAGATTCATATGAATAGGTTTGATATTATAATTATAGGATTAACTAATTCTGATTTTATGTCATTAACTGTAATGTCTTTTATTAATATAACGTATTGTAATTAACCGATAGTTTTCCAATGAGTCAATGCGCACACAAACTATCAGTACCGGCGCTTAGCTATGAGGCCAAAGAGATAGCCTGTCATGCAATTGAAAAGTTTATTAACAAACTAAATACCAGAGGTTTGTATTAATTTTTTTTTGTGGTAAATAAATATCTAAATTATTTTTATATTTACCGTACATTAACATTGCTGTCAATAATTACAGAAAGGCTGTCAACGCTTCGTATTCACTGTTATCGGGCATTATTGGAGTCATTGATTGATAAATACAATCCAAATATGAGACACAACGCAATGAAAAGCGTCAAAATCGGTGATAATATGAATTTTAATGACTATTTTCATAAAGCAGTTAACGGTTTAAATATCGATATACCTGAAGAAGAATTGGATTCMGATTTTGTTCGGAACTGTTTGTCTCAACAACAGAATTGTATTATATTTTATTCGCTAAGACTATTGATCGCACCGTTAGTTGAATCGTTAATTTTGTTGGATTTTATTAATTACCTTAAAGAGGATGGCATACAGACAGCACTTTTGCCATTGTTTGATCCAATTCTTTCTCCCAGAAATTTTGTATTGATTGCCATTAAATAAAAAAATTGTGTTTAACTTTTTGTGTTTAATTCCTATAAGTGTTTTATTTTATTTTTATATTAAAAGCTATTTATTCACAAACTATTCAATTTATTGTATGTAAATGAAAGGGCACTACTGTTTAGGTGATGTTGTGTACAAATACCGATTTGCACACAATTGCACAGTTAATCTCTATTGTATTGAACTTAATAAAACTTTTGTTGCTTATAAGCTTATGTATGGACAGTCAAAGATTGGCTCATATTTTTTTGACATTAAAGACTGCAAAACACCACTTTTAGTTGCACTCAAATCATTACACGAGAACTCCATTTAAAACATATGGAAATATTCACAGATTCTCACTAAAAGGTGAGAGGAAAGAGAGACCGAGAGAGAGAAAGAGAGAGAGAGAGAGAGAGAGAGAAAGAGAGAGAGAGAGAAAGAGAGAGAGAGAGAGCTATGACTATATAATGTTGTAGTGATATAAATACGAGAAACAGAAAATGAGTAAATTTTTTGTAAATCTTCTTTGAAAACATGACTTTTAAAAGATGTGTCTATTGGCCGACTCATAGCTCACACTCACATAACACATAGCCGTCCCCTTTAAATGGTATGTCATATGCCGTATATACGGTATATAGAAAATTGACTGATCATAACTGTGACGATCATAACAATGGATTTGACTTCAAAAAAGTTAATTATATTCTTTACACCTATTCTTCAGTTGGTCTTCTATTCACATCAGTTGACAACTTATTTACGATTTTTTATTTTGCTTTTTCGTTAAAATATATATATATTTGCAAATAAAAGTTATTATTATTATTATTTGGCATTTTATTTCTTGTTGTTTGATTTGATGAATCAATAAATTTTCGTGAATATTGTGAATGCTTTTTAAAAAAGTGAGTGAAATTTGTTTTATAATCTTTTTTTCTTCAATTGTGACAACTTTTTTTCATTCATTCATTTATTGCAAACTATAGATCGGTTGAATGATCAACAAGTGCTACCGTTCCCATCGTTTCGCACAACACTCTTAAAGACATATTTGCCGTCAAATGTTTTCTCTTACTATTGCTCTTTCAATTGACAAATCAAAGTGAGAGAGCAATCAATTTGCTATAAAACATTCATTGAGTTTAATTTATATAGAGATATATATTTCGCTAACAACTATTAAATCTCATTTAACACTCAAAAAAATTATCGAAAAAAAACAAATGTCTCATTCAAAACACGAACTAAGCGCTCAGTTTTGTCGTGTTTGCGGTGACCGGGCGTCGGGTTTGTATATAAAAACTAATTAATTTAATTGTTTGTTTGATTGTTTGTTTGAAACTAATTGGTATATACAATATGTATGTAATTATTTGATCGCATTTTTTTCTGTCACCAAAACAAAAATAGGCAAACATTACGGTGTATTGAGTTGTGACGGATGTCGGGGTTTCTTTAAGCGATCGGTTCGTCGCAATTTGATCTACACGTGCAAAGAGACGGGTGTTTGCTTTGTCGATGTCTCCACAAGAAATCAGTGTCAATACTGTCGATTTCAGAAATGTTTATCAGGTATTAACTGTCAAAACAAATTTGTTTGTCAGTATTATCACAAAAACTTTATACTAAAAGTATATAAAACTGTTTTCTCTATGTATTAACAAAATATATACATTTTTTTGGGGTATCTATTTCTTCTATACCATCTCTAAGTCAATATGAAAAGAGAAGGTAAATATTGTCTACTTTTACACTATTATTATTAAGTCAATATCATTGAAACATATTCACAAATTTTGCTTTAATTTTCATTAGTGAAAAAAATCTTATTTGTTATAAAATAACATATTTTTGTGACATTTTTGTCACTTTTTTTTAAAGCCGTTCAACACGAGAGAGTTAATTGCAATACAAACACTAGAAATGTTGGCAATAGTTCACGATTTTTAAGCAAATGTTTAACCGATAAAAGAAATTCTTCAAAATTATGTTTTAGAAGTGCTGGTCATCCGACTAGTAGTCAAACATCAGTGAATCCGGTTGTGGCCGACTCGACCACTTCGTCACCGATTTGTTTGGGCACTCAATTCATGCCAACCTCTCTATCRATTTCTAACTCGACTTCACTTTCATCGCAACAACATTGGAACAGCTCTTTGCCATTGCTTTATTCACCCAATTATTATACAATTACTTCAAATACATTCACTCAATTGACAAGAATTGTGTTTAGCACAGGTATTATTTTTAAATATCTATTATTATAATATTATGTTTAGCTTATAAACTATGAGCTAATAAATAAATTATGGTTTTATTAACTGATCAAACATTTAGATAAGCTATCAATAAATATTGCAATATTGATTTAATAATTTGACATATTATACTGTATATTAAATTAAATACAATACCTATAATATTAGCCTATAAAATTAAATACTGGTAAAATATACACTATGGATATGCTTGTAATATAAATTATAYATTTARGAAAACATATTTATTTTATAATAATATTATCATTATTATTAAACTTTTTTAATTTTAAGTTCATTGGGGTCTAAGTATACCTGCATTTCAAGCACTGGACAGAAGTGACCAAAAGTTGTTATTAGAGGAAACGCTAAATGAGTTACTAATCTTAACAATAATGCAACAAACAATGCATTTAAATACTGAAAACACTAATTATACGATTCTGGTTCTCAATAATTATTTTAATAATAATATTGAACAACAAAAACTCATAGATCTCGTCGATTATGTTAAAAGTCTGCAAATAAATCAAATTGAATTTACATGTCTTAAAGTGCTTCTCCTATTCAGAGGTGGTATGTATTACATAACTTTTTATCTATATATATATCTATATATATCTGTTAATGTTCATATATTAGTCAATATAGACTCGCAATCAATGATTTTCATACAAACTGTAAATTGAATTTAAGTTTAATAATAGTGTCATTAATTAGGATCACTCTTATTATAGAATATTCTGTACGATTCTATTAATCAAAATTACAGTTCACTTAATAACTAATATAAAAAATAAATAAAAATAAGATTTCATTTATTCATTAACACTGATTGTCTAACCCATAAACCTCAGAATGCAGTGGTCTGTCCAATGGTGAGCACATCAGATCCATGAGAGACGAAGCACTTATACTATTGAATGAACAAATACTGAACAGGATATCAGTGCCGACAAACACAGTGAGCATCACTTCGACCGCCACTTCATTAACGCTTCGTTTTGGTCGTCTTTTGCTACTATTATCAGCTCTTAAGCGACTCAATAGATCTCATTTTGCGACCATTCATAATAGTTTATTGGGTTTAGCTTTCAATCAATTGCATATTTAGCTTTCACTACCGTTCCCTATATATAACTATATTATTCAACTAAATTTCTCTCTCTCTCTCTCTCTCTCTCTCTCTCTCTCTCTCTCTCTCGTCCAATGTTTGTTTGTCTATAAACTTGTCATATAATACAGTAATATCAGTGAATAACATACTATATATCAATATCACCCAATTCTATACACTAGATATTCCCAATGTTTTAAATACACTGTATTTCATCTAAATATTTGTCGCATTAAATGTATGTAAAATAAAAATTAATTAAAAAAATTTAAGACAAAAACGTGTATACATTTTTTTAAAAAAAAATATAAAATACTATTAAAATCTATTAAGATTGCATTTTTACTAAATTTTATAATATAATCCAAATTAAAAGATTATTAACTAATTACTGATATTGTGTTACTAATAAAAATATTAAATTAGAAAATAATAGATAATAATAAATATTATATAATATAAAAACATTATATATTGTACCTAGCTCACCACAAATCGATATACAGTGCTTCCAATGTCTAATTATATTTATCTATTTTAAGTAAAGCCTATATTTAGAGTTGTCAAACAAAATTAGTATTTGTCTAAACAATCCAATATTTATATGTATAAAAATCATTAAAAATTTATATTAGAAATTAAAATTAAATCAAGTGTCCAGTATTTTTGAGCTAAATTTTTTATATATAAAAAATTACATGAAATATGTTTTATCTATAAAATTGTATCCACAATACTATCCTATATTCTCTATATCTATTAAAATCATTTAGCAATCCTACTCTATAATACCGTATATATCACATAACAATCTAACGGTGCACTACTATCTCATTGTACTGTACTATACAGTACTATACCACTAGTGATACCTTTTTATATCTACAATACTGTACACTGTATTCAACTTAATATACAGTATAATAAAACAGTAGCTGAGAACACATGTGTCAAATGTATTATATAATATACACTGTATTTATGGTACTGTATATACTGTATGTATATATTATTGAAAGCAAATGTACTGTAAAATCATAAAACTCGTTAAAACAGTACAATACTATTAATATTATGTATAATAACTAATAAATATAAATGTCATAAATTACGTCAACAGTGGGACAACTATTAAGGCCAATGATAATACCTAATGTTAACTATAGAAACGTAAGTAAATTAATATATATATGTAAAGGGATTCATATAATATACACAAAGTTGTCGTAATTGACGACAGAAATAAACATTATTATTGATATGATATGTAATACAGTAGTGTTGTGTGTATTAAATGAAACCAAATATACATTTGTTTTGTGAATCAATGTCTCAATTGATGGTCAAATATGGCGACTGATGGACATCACCGGCAAAGTTGATCCCGACTGGAGTGACACCGTCTAAGACATCGTTTACTGACTAAACGCTTGACTCGATCCACACTCTGTGACATATCAGACGATAATTGTGTGTTTATATCAAACAAAAGTGACAATCAATTGATTGATTTATTTGATCACTAATTTTGAAGTGTTGTTTGTGACCACAGTTTCTCAGATCAATTGTGGTGATCAACAGATTATCTTTGTTTTATTGCTCTGTTGATTATGAAGTGTTGAATGACGACAACGACAACAACAATGTCTTTGAATGAGAGTAGTCTGGAGAAGAAGTTGTCTCAAGTGACCAATTCTCAGGACAGCATTCAAAGTCTGTCGCTTTGGTTACTCCACCACAAGAGTCACTACAAGAGGATTACATATATTTGGTTCAATTGTTTCGAAAAGAGTATGTTTTGATACTTAAATTATTGACATAATATTGATGTCTATTATCATATATTTGACTTTATTTTAGGCAAATCAAGCCATCGGTTAACTCTGTTTTATTTGGCCAACGATGTCATACAACACGCCAAACGTAAAGGTTATTCACATTTTGTCGACTATTTTATCGATAGTCTGAAAAAGGCAATCATTTTGTGTAAAGACGACAATATCAACACAAATATTGATCGTGTCTTCAATATATGGCTCGAAAGAAGTATTTATAGTGAGAGTGTTATCGAAGAGTTTAGGGCACTGTTATCGGGATCGAGTGCTCATTTGGCCGCCATATCGAAAATTGTGGCCGAATTTAAATTATCGGAATTGATCGATAAGATAAAGAAATGTAAAAAATGTGAACAAACATGCGTTTCGAAAACTGATGCATTGAAAGGCAGTAAAGTTGATCCAACCAGTGGTGATGTGCTCAACAAATTGAAAGACAAAACACACGGCGAACAGTTTACTCACGAGTTTGATGAGTACACAAAATGTCTGGAGTCTGCTATCAATGCACTGGAAAAAGAGGTTCACATCAGAAATGATTTGATCGAAAATCTTGAAAAAAGTGAAGTGTTTTACGAGACACAGATGGATGAGGCGAAGACAGTTGTCGACGCTTATAAGAACTTTGGTTTACGAGTTAAAAATGTTTGGCGCAAACTGGATGAGATGCGACCAACCCTTCCCAGTCCACTACCATCACCACCGAGAGACGCACCGTCGCCTACAAACTCAGATGATGGACCAACACTGCCACCGACAGCTACCATACCAACCACATCATCATCAGCAGCAGTAGATCCATTTACCGCCGAAGTGAATTCGTTTTTAAGGCGTGTGGCCAATGATCACAAAAGTGGTCACCAAACGAGTTCACTCGATCAACGATTGTCTAATCTGATGCACAGTATATCGCAAGGAAACGACATACAAAAGACTCCTCATTCAACCACTCATTCAAATTCAAACCAAATAATGCAAATGTCGACTAATATATCAACTAATATGAATACTACACCACAAATTAGCACAAGTTATACCAACAATACCAACAATTGGTATCAAAATCAGTTGAATGATCAAAATATATCAGGTTTTAACAATGAAACCTATTATCAATCGCACGATACAAACATAAATCACTCGCAATCCATGTATGACTATAATTATCCGCATTCAATGCCAGACATGAATTTAATGACACAACAAAACAGTACAGACATACAGCCTATTCAGCCATTAGTTTCATCGCGAATCCAACCGGTCTCGACTCTAACAGCGCCACTCATGCCATCGATGCCAACATTTGATTATACATCAGCTGAAAATCTAGAGCCGGCAGACATGGATTTGGGCAATTCGGACGATGAAGATGTTAGTGGTGGCCAACGATCACAAACTCAGCGGACTATTAAAGTGATTGAAAGTCGACGCAACTCTAATGATATGCAATTAACTGATTATAATTTACCAAACAATACGAATAATAATAATTATGTTAATAATAATAATCATATGACAAACTCAAATAATAGTGTTGTTCCTCCATATATGCCTCAATATTCACCACAACTCAAATCAATTGCCCGAATGCCGGTGCGCTCGACACTAAACAGTGTTGTTCAACAGCCGCCATCTCATCCATATCCTCCGCCAATGCAATCGCCACAGCAATGGCGTGGCCCGCGATCTACAGTTGTGCCCACACATAACTTCTCACCGATGAGCGCACCCAATCATCGTAATCCACACAATTGGAGATCTCATAACAACAACAATACTAATAATAGGAATGGTAACCGAAAGTCAAGATATTGATGTCCGATAGTGTTTTGATTATATTATATATATATATATATATATATTGTTTTTTGTAATTTCTATTATTTTGAGAGAGCACATCAATTTACCATTATATAGATATTTGTATATATATTCTTAAACATTGAAGAATTTTAATTAAATGAATTTAGTTTTTTTGTGTTAAATAAATTTAATTAATTAACCACTAAATGATTTGATAAATGTTGATAATAATTGTTGAATTATATAATTTTAAAATATATTTAAACAAAAAATATTATAGTTTGCTAAATTAAAGAAAAAACAGTCATTTATAATGATTATAACTTTTTACTATAAATTTATTTAATAATAATAATACCAATTGCGTACGTTTGTTAATTTTATACCAATTTTATAATGTTATTTATTTTATCGAAAAACACTGTAGTTCATCATTAGTGAAATTTATGTTTTAATGATACAAACCTATGATTATATTTTTTAATTTATCTAGAGTATTTATCATTTTAAAATAATTATATAATAACTATATTTAATTGTTATAAATGTATTAAAAAACGAATTCATTTATTTAATAATAATTTTGAAAAAATCATTTAACTATAATCATTATATCATATAATTTAATTTATTTCTTATGTTTTTTTTGTTTGTTTTTGAAACTCATTGTAATTTATTAGGAAAAAATTCAGGGAATTATAAAAACAAATTATGTATATAAAAAATATTTTCATTTAAACATGAAATTTAAAGTAAATTTTCTAATATTAAGAATATTAATAAAACACACAATTGTTTGACATCTAAAAAATATATATTTTTCTATCAATGATTTATTGAATAATCACTTTTTCTTATACGCGTCAAGAATCTCATTGACGTCATCCTTGGATCCCAAGAATACTGGTGTCCTTTCGTGGATCTGTTTGGGCTCAATATCCAGTATAGGAATCTTACCATTGGACGCCACACCGCCCGCCGCTTCAATAATATGAGCCATAGGATTGCCTTCATAAAGAAGTCTTAACTAAATAACAAAAAATATAATAATAATAATAATAAGTTATAACAAATGAAAAGTTAATTCAAATTAAATAAGTAATAATACTTTTCCACTTTTGGCATCACTGGTCGCCGGATATAAGAATACACCGCCATATTTGATGGTTCGGTGAACATCGGCCACCATTGAGCCGACATAACGGGCCGAATAAGGTTTTCCCGATTTGGGATACTTTTTGCTGCGGACATACTCTTTGACCACATCATCCCATTGAGACTCATAACCTTCATTAATGCTATAGATCTTTCCCTTTTGTGGTACTCTCATATTGGGATCAGTTAATATAAATTCACCGATTGTCTAATCGATTGATCATTAATTAAACGTTAGTACTAATAATATTTAAATTAATAAAAATAATTAATAATTACCGGATCATAAGTAAATTCATTGACCGAACCGTCTATGCTTAACACTATAGCCGTTGCGCTACCATATAATGAGTAACCGGCGGCCACTAAATGTTAGACAAATTAAATAATAATTGAAAATCTTATTAAAGTTTAATTTTATTTTTCACCTATAGATCGACCACTTTTGACGCCAATCTTTCCATTAATTTCTTCCTAAATGTTTAGATAAATTAATTGTTAAGCACTTAAGCTTTAATACGATAATCCATTAAAAATAAATGAAAATATCAATACTTTTCGATAGATGGCAAATATAGATCCGATAGAAACGAGACAATCGATATTAGATGATCCGTCTAACGGATCAAATGCCACCACATATTTACCGGCCTTTTCGGGTTCGATCTCAACCACTGTATCGTTCTCTTCCGATATTAACAGACATGTCGTATAGGATGACCGCAACATATTTATAAACAAATCATTGGCCAATACATCCAATTTTTTCTGGTCCTCTCCCTGGACATTGGTGTTACCGGCGATACCATATCTGGAACAATGGGGGGGGGGTTAAAAATTTAATAATAATAATAAATCAATTTATTAACAATAGTATCTAATCGACTGGTTATTCCATAAAATTATAATAATCTTATCATTTAAAAAAACAAAACTTTTTTTTTATTTTGATTAAATCAAATTTCAAAGTTTATAGTTCAATGTCATTTAAAAATCATTATATAATAAAGATAGTTGTGTGCCAAAATTTATCTAAATAATTTATTACAATTATATTACTAGATATAAGAAAATTGCGCAAGTTTATTTTTCAAAAGTTAGCATGTTGTTTACCTTGACAACTATGTTGGAAATTTTTTTAAAAAATAATATTTTTAGATAAACAAATTTAGACTAAAATAACAACCATATTATTTTAATATAGTTTGCATTGTTATATTCATATTCATTTAATATAATGATTATAATTATATAGTGGTATATATTAATTATAAATATAAATTAATTTAATTAATAGCATCATGTTTGTTTAGAAGCATCATAAATAACTTAACTTATTATATGCTAACTATTAATATTTAGTGAAAACCAAAATTATGATACTTTGTATATCAAATGGGAAATAAAAAAAATTTTAGTACAAAGATATGACACCTTAAAAATAGTGGTATCGAAAAAAATAATTGTTATAAAAGTAACCTACAATTTAGCGATACCGGCCCTTCTGACGGCCGATCCGACCGCTTTGACCGAAGTGCAGATGGCGTTCAACAAAGTGGTCAACTCTCCGGTCGCGTCATCTCTCTTGCGCTGTTCAGTCAACATAAAGCGCGTTAATGTCATACAATTGGTGTCAATTGCATCGCCGACTGAAGACATTTTTATTTAGTTTATTATATCGATCGGCGAAAACAATAACAACAACAAAAAATACCACTTTTTAATATTCAGTGAATTAACGACAAAACACTGAATGAATGTTTGATTCAAATACTATACGAGTTTTCACTTTAAATGACAGTCAGTTTTGTTTATTTGAAGGAATAGTAGGTTAGCCTTGAAATGATACCAAACTCCGATCCCTTTCCCAATGCATACATATGTATAGACTTTTAAGAGCACACACTGTAGTGTCAGTGAACAGCAAACAAGTGCTTATCTATTGCTATCATATGTATAGAAATTCCTTATTAAACGGATTTAATTTAATTTTTTTCTAAAATATAGTATTTTTATATATTATATACATTTTGTATATATTGTAAATTTTAAAAATATGTGTTATAATTAATTGGCGTATAACATAGTAATTAATTTATTTTATTTTTAATTAAACCAATTCATTATATTAGATGTAAAATATTTTATCCATTGTATATCATCATTTTAATGGGAAAATAAATGTTGAAATTTTCTATACCAATAAGCATATTATTTTAATTAACTTTTAAATTAATTTAATTTAAAAATCAATTTGAATGTGTATTAGCGCCAAATATAAAAATTAAATGAATATAATAAAATAATTTTTATTTTTAAGGAATTTTATTGAAATTATTTTATTCTAAAAGACAAATAATTAAAAACTATAAAAGTTTTAAATAATTATGAATTATAAATTGAATTATTTATAATTATTAATAAAAATAGAAATTATTATTTTTTTAAATAGTTGTTGAAAAAAACTAAACTTTTATTGAACCTAATTTTTTTATTGCATAATTTAGCAATTTAATTTTAAAGTTTATCATTGTATATAACTATTTTAATACAGATGTTTATTTTATTTATCATAAATTATTGATAACATTTATTGTAATATTTGGTAAACATTACAAGTATGAAAGTGTACAAATATAAATTTCTAAAATTTTCCTAAATATTACTAAAAAAATAATCAATTTAATACAATACATCACATTATCTTTATTAAATAAATTGTAATTAAAGTTTCAATCAATTTTTAAAACTTTTTTTTATTAGTTCATTGTTAATACAATATCAGATTGAATTAGTTCAATAAATTCCCAAAATTTATATTCATTTTTTCATAATATAAAATACTTTAGTATATTATTGTACAGTAAATATAACAAAATGCATATGCATTACAAAACATGAATTGTATTGATATAATTGTAGATAATATTGAATTATTTATATTTATTTTATGAAAGATATAATGTATTGTATATACATTGTATATTTGTATATAATATTGTTAATTTATATTAAGTATGGTTCGCATTCAATGTTATTAACACTTGATTGTGATAATGAAAACAGACAAATGTTTTATTATAATCAATGATGAAAGCAATGACTAAATCATATTTTGTCTAATACTATATACAGTATTAATGTTATTAGTAATGCATTAAAACTAATATAAGTGTACAACAGATATATTATAATTCTAATAGCATTATATTATTAGCAGTTTATTAGAAAAATATGATTCAATTTGATAATAATAAAAAAATATTTATTGTATTAATGAATAAATATCAGTGTATTAAACAATATGATGTTTTGCATTTTGGTTTATTTAACTAATACTCATTTGTTGGATTGAAATTCAATTTCATTTACTATAACATGTGTGTGTGTGTGTGTGTGTGTGTGTGTGTGTGTGTGTGTGTGTGTGTRTGTGAGAGAGAGAGAGAGAAATCAGACTGTAATACTCATGAATAACAAATATATGAATTTCGGTGGTAAACAGTATTAGACATAAAATGACATTTATTTGGTCTCAAATACTATGCTTGGATTGAAATGAATTATCGCTAATATATTCAATAGATTTTTCTTATATATCATATATACAGTACTGTATATTATGTATAACAGAACTCTTATATCATTATATCACAAAATTTCAATAAACTATAGAAAAAATCCTATTTATACCCACTTTAGGAATTTTCCTCTTTTATCGAAGTTATTACTAAAAATAGTTTACGTCTTATCCATAATAATATAATATTTATTTATCAATATTTATATAATTTTTTTAGTTATTTTTTATTTTATCATATAATTACGGGACCACTCATTGAAAGTACGAATTATTTAGTTACTTATAATACCAGTTATATTAATATAAATTTCCATACTATATGTTATTGTACATAGTTTTTAGACTTTGACCAAGATGATTTTTAGAATCTATTAGCAAAGATCACTATATTGCTTATACAATATATAGTATAACACAACATACAGTATTATAAACTTTTACTATCAATATAAATATAGTGTATATAGTGTACAGCGAATATTAAATTGTAGTTTATAATTTAGCTTGAAATGATATTTTCTTCAATGTAATAAAATTAAACCCTAGTTAAACAAAAAAAAAATATAAATACTTTACGACTTTACACTATTTTTTTGAGAAACTATCGATTGTATAGTAATAATAATAATAATAATAAAAACAGTATAATAGCTGATTTAAGGCAACAAATAAGTCATGACAAGTGTGCTAAATGCAAAATTAATTGCATTTATAGACCATATTATTGACATTTCATAAGAGAAATGATTTACGAAGCGTTTCCTTATTTTTTAAACATTTGTTAAATGAAATGTGAATGTAATTTATAAAAAGATATCAAACGTGTGCGAGAATAATGACACTCAAAAAACTTATATATAAATAATATGTCTTTTAATTTTATATAATTTAAATTCAAGCCATTTTATATAATTTATACATTACCACCACTTACTACAGTTTTGTTGCAAATTTTTCATATGTTAAATTCCTCTCTCTTTCTCTCAAAAGTAATAGCTTTTAGTAGTGTATGAGAAACAAAAAAAAGTCTTAAAAGTTAAAGTGTATGATTATGTCTGAATGACACCCCAGAAAGCACTGGTGTTTTGTACATAGCCTGTGCCACATACATACAGTACAGTACATACAACTTGACTACAACTGTTTGATACAAATTTAATTATCCATTACTTTTTGACCTTTTATTTGAAATTCTGTATAATATTCTGTGAATTCTTAGATAATCTGTGACTTAAAAGAAAGAAAGAGAGATAAAAAGAGAGACAGAAAGAGAGAGAGAGAGTGAGAGAAAGTCAAATATATAAATCGATTCAAATTGTCTATAATTTTATATTTGATTTTTTCTATTTGTAGTGATTGCCTATTTTTTGTGCCTAACATTTTAGTTTATCACTCAATTTAAATGTTAAAAAACACACACAAATCCCTGACAGAGAGAAAATGAAATAAAATTCATCGCACGATTGATAAAAATCTTATACAATTTAACTACAGCTTAATATATTTACAGTAAAAAATAGGTAGTGTTTAATGAGATTCTTTGAGAATAAATAAATTGTATTTTTATATTACAAAACATTTGATACTTTTTATTACTTTTTTTAAAAGAGACAAAACTCATATATAAAAATCAAAATCTTTCAATAAATAAACAAATAGTGATTTTTTAAATGAGATATTTTTAAAAAATCAAATCTTAGTTTTTGTTTTAATGATATGACATTTTATGTAATTTTCAAATATTTTATTCATAAATCACTGTTTTATTTACAACCAATTGCCTCCTATTGTTTAAGAAGTTATTAATGGTAAAAATTTTTATCTTTAAAATCTTAATGTTAACTTGATTTTAAAATTATTATTATTATTATTCAAATGTTTTATTTAACTGCATTAAACTGTTTAAATGCATAATAAAAATAATACATTTATAATAGTAAAAAAAGGTTTTCAATGAGCTATTTGTAACTATATTTCAAATGTCTTTTATTAAACATAATAAATAATAGTAAATGTTTAAGTCTTTCATTCAAAATTGTTTATTTTTTTAAATAAAGACAATTAATGAATGATTCATTTATTTATGTGAATAAATACAAAGTTTATGTTAAAGAGAAAAATCCGACAAAATTTATTATTTTTAAGGATCGCGTGTTGAGTGAAATAAACTTAATTTTAACTCAATTTTAGATAATAATGTTTAAATTATTTCGATCTATATTTGAGTACAAAACTCTTATTCCGATATTTACTGTTTATATTTTCATTTTATTTATCTACTGTTTATTAATATCTAGAACTTAAAAACATTTAAAGATTTTTTAAAAAATTAGTTGTGAACTGTAATTATTGTCATTATAAATATTATCAATCTATGTTTTTTATAATTATGTAACTATTTTAAGAAACTTAAACAATAGTCATAAAATGTAAAAGTATATAAATATTATTTAAAAATTGAAAAAATTGAATATTAAAAAAATCTGTATTTTATATTTATTTGATAGTAAAATATATTTAGTAGTATTACAATATAATTAAATATTAATTATAATCTATAAATAAATATAGACATGTACATTAATTTGTTAGTTAACATTTTTTTTTATTAATTAATCAAAAATTTAGTAAACTTACTCTTACTCTCTCTCTCTCTCTCTCTCTCTCTCTCTCTCTCTCTCTCTCTCTTCACTTATTGTTTGTCATGTAATTTGTTTTACTTGTTTGATGAAAACAATGTTTTAGATCATTTGATTTTATTACTGATAAAAATTATTCAATGATATTAAAACATGACAATAAACATATCATTGTAAATATAATAGAAATGTCAATTCACTAGACTATATTTGAATGATAATAATATAGTTTAATAGTCATAGTTAAGCAACTAATTAAATTGACATTTTTAACATTGAATTTAATATTTAACTGAAATTTTTTTAGATAGAATCTATTGTACCAAATATGTGGTGCAATTGTCAAAATTGTCAAATATTGATATCTCATTGTTCAATATAGCCAGTAGTTGTAAAATGATAACAAAATTTAAGATATATATATTTTTTGATAAAATATACTATACTTTAGGCGATTATTATTACTTTATATTTTATATTGTTTTACCAAAAAATTTATCAGTTTCGATTATTATTATATCATTATAGGATAATAATAATTTTTTTACTAAGAAATATTTTGTTAAAAAAAGTTATATATCAATTATGATAATAATAAAAGTTAAATATTAAAAGTATAAAAATTAAAATTTAATTTTAAGTAATAGTAGTAAAGTAATCAAT